GTGAAACTTGGACAACCTACTGTAGGCATATGCAAGTTGAGAGCATTTCCACTAGCAGCAATGCTTGCCTGTTATACTATACATGTCGATCACATGTGCCAGATGCATGAGTGCTGCAGCTGGCTAAAATAACATGCACTGAGTTCATATTCACAGAGTGCCAACTTAAATGAGTCGGTCACCTTGTCCACTTAGAGGATGCGCACATGCCAAAACAGGCCATATGTAGTGCGTCCTTAATTCAAGCTGTGCAAACGCTTCAAGGACAACCCTAAAGACACACTTAAAAATGTCAATGTAGATATTAACACCTAGGAGAATCTTGCATCAGACAAGGACGTATGGAGAAGTCTGATTTCTGTTGGTATCAAAGAATTTGAGTTGTTTACTGACTAAAATGAGCTGGTAGATTTATGGAAGACGTCAACCCTCTTCCTGAAAGGGACACAAAGAAGTTTCTATTGTGTGATGAATGTGGCAGTGTTATCCAAAAATAGAGACACCCCTCTACCAATATGATACCCAGCATGACTTTTCATGCAGCATTTGTAACAAAGTGTGTACATCACCCAGTAGACTCACTAGGCGCCATAAAACTAAACATTCAGATAATCAAGTTGCTGCAAGAAGACTCACCTGTACTTACTGTCACGTCATCAACAGCATGGAAATCATCCCTAAAATGTTCATTTGGAAGATATAAATCTTAGTGGTGGTCTTACTTGGTCACAAGTCAAATTTCACCATATGTACAAAGTCTGGTTCAAAAGTACCGGGTTCGGTGCTATAAAATATAACTACAACACATATCAGTTTGACATTTAATCTCCTTCAAAGTAGTCTCTTTCTGAATCCACACACTTTATTCAGCATCGAATAAAATCCAGTAGGAAAAGTGAACGTAGTATTAACAAATAACATTAATTTTATATAACAACAAAAATACAAGAAGTTGGTTGAATGTATTGAATGAATAACGTCATTTTTTGGTTGTGATATAAAATTAATGTTATTTGTTAACATTACATTGTCTTTTCCTACTGGATTTTATCCTTTCAATGAAAGTCATGAGATTATTCTAAATGGCCGAATTACAAGCAGTCACACAACAATATTTTATGTTATTGCATTGAATCCTGACGTTTAATAAAAACCTGAGTGGAAGGATTCTTACAAATGGTGACCCTGACATAATTGGGGCCTTGAATAGTAATTTTCCAAGCATAGCTTAGATGTGGCACAAGGTCAAAAATAGGGGGCACCCATTGAGGATCGAACTCACTGCTCAGTTGTAATTGTTCTAGCTAGACAAGCTTGGTAACCGTTACACCGCCTGGGGCCTTGAATATCAGCAGCTAGAGTGACGTGTACCTTGGTGGCATTTGTAAGTCTTTTTGTTGGGGTGGGATTTTGTGATTTTTATACCTTTTTTCGTAAGAAATTGGCTCCAGAATTATATTATTTTATTTATTCCTAATTGGTCCTAAAAATGTCAAATGGTGGTTTACTACTACATCCACGCAATATTTTGGCGGTACCTATCTAAATTATGATGACTAATAAAACAACCTTTCTAATTTGTATTCGATGGTTTAATAGGTGGCTTTTAAGATGTAAGCACTTGATTGTGTGTTGTTGGCTTATAAATATTTTGTAGGAGTGTTTTAATGTTTATGTAGCTTATTGGAATTTAATTTGAGAACAATATTTTATAAGTTCACATTCTAGCCTATTTTTCCAATCCTCACTCCGACCTTTTTTTCTTACTTTCAAAACCGGCTCCCAAAGCCTTGATTCCTATCAGAGTTAAGAATGTGTATTCTGACCAATGGAGGGGCCAGGAAATTTGTATAACAATTTTGGAGGGAAAAGTCCCCGATCCTTCTGAGCCTCCCAAATCTCCATAAATTTGGAGAATCTTCACCTAATTGGCAGTGAGAATTCGACCACCATCTGTGAGGTCGGCAATAAAGAGCACCAGTCAAACTTCGGAACTGTGAAGAAAACTTTGAGTGTTTCTAACCATTAACAAAATTATATTTGCTTAAATAACTTTTAGGTGCTCAGAGAAATATTTTTTCTTTTATGAACATTTTCTCTTCCCTTAAAGGACTTTTTCTTCTCCTTTTCTTTCACTCTTAATTGTCTTTATCCCTTTACCCTTTTGTTTCTGTAGTGTAACCCGGATATAAGAGACCCGGATATAAGAGAAACCCGGATATAAGAGAGATTTTCTCTGGTCCCAAATTAGAGCCTGTGTTAATGTATATAAAATAGACCAAACCCGGATATAAGAGAAACCCGGATATAAGAGACTTCTTCTCCGGTCCCGACAACTCTCTTATATCCGGGTTATACTGTATATGTAAATAAAAACTTTGTTCTTTTATTGTTACACGCTGAGTAGTGGTTTTTCTTTATTCATCCGTGTCTAAAAGAGAGTTTGTCTGCTCTAATCTTGCTGCTTTTTACTCGCATTTTGTCACAATCTTTTAACGAACCTCAACCCTTTGATGCAGGAAAGCCAGAACAAATTTCCCTGCAAGCTATTGTTGGCTGAAAGTACAAGGAAGTTGAATGGAGACAAAAGGACAATTGTACTTAGAATCAGAAAGAGACAGGTGATATTTCTGGGATGCATGAGGAAAAAAGGCTTCGAGAATTTGACACTCACATGACAATTGAAGGCAAGAAAAATAAGAAAAGACATCGAGTAACTTACTAGACAAAGAGGAAATAAAGGAATGGGAGGGATAGCAAAGGAACAAATATTGCTTTGAGCTACAAAGGAAATTGTGGAGAACCATAATTATCTACATCCTGAAAAAATATGACTGAAGGGCCTTGAGTAATTTCCCCCTTTACCCGTGTACATGTTGACTTCCTCTTTAAAATGATTTTTTTGTGTCATATTCCATTCAAGTGTGCCCATGAATAAATTCAGATAGATAGATAGATAGATAGATATGCACATAGGTAAGTAGATAGATAAATAGATAGGTAGATATGCACATAGATCAGTCAGTTACGTGCCATGCATGATACATGCTTAAGCGATCATGTATCTTTTCGATACATGACTGACGAAGTAGATTTTTTCCCGCAGTAGGTTGCCATTTCTTTCTGTGGTATGGGCTATAGAACCCAGTATGTCTTGCTATTTACCCATAGCTTAGAAGAAGAGGATTCATCATACCTTTCTCAAGGGTATTATTGATAGATAGATAGATAGATAGATAGATAGATATGCACTTAGGTAAGTTATAGATAGATAGATAGATAGATAGATAGATATGTTGGTAGGTAGATAGATTCATTTAAATTTTTGATGAAACGATTTTCCCTGAATTCCAACCAGGTAAATTCGCTATTCCCAGGAGTCAATGTTAAATAAAAAAAAAACAACACTTGCTCTAAAAAAACTTGTTTTTTTCACGCAGTAGAGTAGTAAACTAAACACAAAACTAAAAAACATCTATTTTTTTTTACCCCTACTTTTTTTTAATGAAAATTCAAATAAATAGAAGTAGATTTTTTTCCACAGTTGGTTGACATTTCTTTCTGCGGTATAGGCTATAGAACCTGGTATGTCCTGCTATTTACCCATAGCTTAGAAGAAGAGGATGTGGCATGCTAATGAGATTTGGTATAAAATTGTTAAGAAAGCTTTGGTGAAGGTTGCGTTTTTGATTAGCACATCACATTTAAATTTTACAAAGAAACACAAAGAAGGAATAACAAGAGATTATTCAGTAATCAACAATAATAACATGTATTGAAAAACAAGCGAGTACAACAATTGTGTTTGGTGAAACAAAGTTAAGAAAGAGGAAGTAGTTCCCCTTGTACTAATGTGAGGTTGTAAATATGTGTTAAAAGAACTTTCTTGTTTAAAATGTTCAGAGTTCAGCAATATGTGATAACTGAGTTTAAGTATGAGAAAGTTGTACAAAAGAATGATAGAATTCTGAGTTGGTTACTTGGCTTTTTGGACAGACAGTTCACAGTGTAGTGCAATTGTAATTTTGTGTCTGTGTGCGTGAGTAGAAGAATGAGAATTCACGTACGTGGTTGAGCTCTGGAGATTTACTGTTTCTACTACTGTTCTTTTCTCTGATTTTTGTGTTATTTATACTTTCTGAATAGGCTCCAGGAATGAGAGCAGGAAAATATTGAAAGAAGTGTTATATTATATTATTGATCAAAAATCAACCAATCACTGATTTTTTCTAAACCAGGTTTGGCAAAGTAAACATCAGAAAATTTGATGTGGCTCATGTGATGCATAAATTGTCCAAAAGAAAAAAAAGTGCTTATTTTCTATCCAATGGCTATTGAGTATTTTGTGGGCATGGTGTATGTAAACAACCGCTACAAGGAATCATACTACCTTTCTCAAGGGTATGATAGATAGATAGATAGATAGATAGATAGATAGATAGATAGATAGATATGCACTTAGGTAACTTATAGCTAGATAGATAGAGAGATTCATTTAAATTTTTGATGAAACGATTCTCTCTGAATGCAATCCAGATAAATTTGCCATTCCCAGGAGTCAATGTTAAATAAAAAAAAAAACAACACTTGCTCTAAAAAAAAAACAAAAAAACTTATTTTTTTTACGCAGTAGTGTAAACTAAAAAAACATATTCTTTTTTACCCCTACTTTTTTTTTCATGAAAATTCAAATAAATATTTTACTTATACATATTCACAGAGTTGAAATAATTCTGCGGGCATGAACCCAATAAAAGCAGTTATAATGTTTTTTTGGGGGGGGGGGAGCGAAATTTAACTTAGAATTTCCCGAAATGAAATAGAAACCCCACTTTTTTTTTTTTTTTTTAATATTATTTTTATTCCGTCTTTTTGTTTGGCTGGAGTGATCTCCCTTGCATGTGGAAAGTTCTAGAGAGTTACGTCGCTCTGGCTTTTAGTTTGGAGTGGTTTCCAGAAAAAGAAGTCTTTTTTGGGAGATTTTAATCTTTTCTTTAATCATGCTTACCTGTTATAATCGATCTTGTGGCAAGGAATTTGACCCTTCAAGCAATGAGGACGGTAAGTTGCCCACGAAATATTTTAACATTCCGACTTGTATTTTTCAGAAGTATTACTTTCTTTGACACTTTTTTTTTCGTCTTTTTAATTAAATTCAACTGTCAATTATTTTTCCCCTTTTAAATCAGAAACATTCAATTTGAATTTATATTTTTGCAAGTTTAAATATTTTGAAATTTCACACGAAACAAAAAATTAAACTAGAATATTTACAAATGATTTCTTCTATTTTAAATTTTAATCACATTTTTTAAATAAAGTGAAGTGCTTTTTTTATTTAAAAACAAAAAACAAAAAAAGCTTCCAATTCTCTATTTAAAAGAAAAATAATTTCAAGCTAATTCCCATTCTCTTAAAAAAAATTCAAAATTTCGACCAAGGAAAATACTTTTATTTTAGCGAACAAGACTGTTCATTCATTTAGTCATGTTTTGCAAATAAGGAGTTCTGTTGGAATTCTTGTCTCTATGAAGAAATCATGGGAAATCCGGTTCGGGTAATTATTCTTTGATCTTTTATTATTGCTTTGTCCATTTTGGGGCAAATAAAGGATATTCTTGTTCGCTTCAAACTCTGCAGTGTTACACTAATCCTCATTATGAGAATTACTCGTTCGCCCTTTAAAGACGGAAAGAAAATGTTACAGGGACAGAAAAAAAAAGAAGCCTTATTCCTTATTATTATCAGCATCACATGTCTATTGTGATGTCTTCAAATTATGTAAGGACACGCTTGTTTGTTCTACAATGGAAAATAAATTAAAAAAAAAATAAAGTTTTATGACCCATAAGATATCGGTGTGTCACAGTTCCGGATTGAAGAGCTTTTTTTCTTCATTGCTTTTTTTTAAAATCCCCATGACTTTAAAATTTTCATTTTATAATGATTACAACACAGTCTACCTACACCTTTCTTTTCCATTTACACCCGCCTCCACAAATTTCTCAGCCTGAACAAGAAATCCCCGTAAACAAAAAATAAATAAATAAATAAAATAAAATAAAAATAATCTCATGTTTTGGTCAGATTTTGGGAAGTATAACTTTTCGATGCCCTTTATTTTTTAGTGTGTGTGTGAATCGGTTTCACATCTCAAACGAGCTTCAGTTCCCTTCAAATCTGACTAAATAGCAAATTTTAACAGATTTTAAAAGTTTACTCACATATAGAATAAAAAAAAAACTTTTCTGAAATTTTAATGCTTTAAATTAAAACGGTGCTCAGCTGTGAAATAAATGTTAAAAAAAAGTTTTTTAAAACTTAAATTAAAAATTGTGTGTTTGTTGTGTGTGTGTGTGTGTGTGTTTTTTTTTTAAAAAGGAAAAAAACTAACAAAGTGAAAAAGAAATATTTTGAAAATTGCTTCGATATCACTTTTCCCAATTTTTAAAACAATTATTGGCAATCAACTTTAAATTAAAGTACCTTCATCATTGTTTAAAATTTTAAACTTTATTAAATATTATAAAAAAAGTAAAAACGTTTTTGAATCTCAGTCTTCTTTCTGTTCATGGGGAAATTTGACGATTTTTTTTAATTTAATGTTTTTTTTTTTACTGCAGCTTCAGGAAGAATTTACAAAACAAATTTTTTTAAATTTATTTTTAAATGTGCTACAAAAATTAAAGTTTATAAACAATTTTGTAACTAATGCCTATTTTCTGATTTTTAAATGCTAACTAAATAAAAACAAAGAAAAAAACGCGATAAAAAGTTTAAAATTAATTTGATTATCTTCAATAAGCAGAATACTTTTTTGCTGTAGTTGAAATTCAAAACTAATTTAGAGTGAAAGGTTATAATAGAGGAAGGAAACAATCCTTGGATATTTTAAAATGAGTCGAGAAGCCAAACAAAATGTAAATATCCTGATCACTTCTTAAAAAGTTTGTTTCATAGAGAATTTCTAAAAACAATTAATAATGTTATTGTTATTTGAATTTCGCTCCCATTTTATTAGATGAAGCGACCAAATTGCAAGCAAAACTAATTTATTATTGTAAAAAAAAAAAAAAATGTTTAAAAAGTTGATTAATGTTTTTAATTTTTACTTTTAAAGTTGAAAAACGTTTCTTTTTAGCTTGTTTAAAAAAACCGGATGTTGATAAACGAGATGATGTGTTGAAACTGAAAGGACCATTTTTTTTTTTTTTTCAAAGGAATATTTTATTTAAAGAGAAAAGAAATCGAATGTTTGTGGATATGCAAGTTTTTTAATTAATTACATTGAGTCGATTTGTAAGAAAAAAATCTAAAAATCACTTTTCTTTTCTCCTTTCAAACTTCTCAAACAAAAGTCCGTTGCGTGTATGTATGTGTATATAAAAAAAAAAGACAGATCGATTTTCCCTAGTCGTTCTTTATTTCATCAAAATAATCTTTCCTTTTCACGCTTATTTTTATTTTATTATATTTATTTTTCTTAAGTTTTCTTGTCCCAGCATGAAAAAGTTTTGCTAAAAAAAACTCTTTATACCCCACCTTCATACCCGGCCCTAAAAATAGGTCCCTTTGTTATTTTCAATGAGAAGGAATCATGAGGGCAAGTTTCAATAGCTGATGGTCATCTTCTTAGATGAAGAAGGATTAATAATTGCCTATCCAATTGAAGAAAAATAATTGGAAAAGAAGTGTTACTTCTGGAATGAGTGACTCTTTTTCGGTAAAAAAAAACTGAAAATAATTTAAAAAGTCTTTGTAAAAACTTCTGTCTTTGGCACCTCGGGTTTGTTTCCAGAAAAAAAATCTATCGCATTAATTAATAAAATCTATTCAAAGTTTGTCAGATTTAATTGTGAGTATAAGACTCTTTCTTTTTCAAGTTAAAAAAAAAAATGTTTTGTTTTGTTTGTCACACACGTCACAAGGATGTGAAATAACATGTCAATTTATGATTTGATTTTTATTATTTATCTAAAAATAAAATAAACGCACTTTGATTACTTTTAGTTTTATTTATGATTTATATATTGAAGAAAAAGAATAAAAACAAAACAACACCAAACACTATTTTGACACCAAAAAGAAAAAAAGAATTTTACATAATTACAGGAAAAAAAACTATTATTTTACTTAAGAAGACTGGTTCATTCGTTCAAAAAAAGAATTTTCTGTAGATTATTAACATTCATTACCTTCCTCAAGGCATGACATTTTTGTCCAAATGATTTTAGAAGAGTCCTTAATAACATCAATTTTACTTTATTTGTATTCAATTGTTCTACATACGAAACATTTTTATAAAAAGATTTAAAGAATAAGAAGTGGAGAAATTATTTAGTATTCCCCAATTTTTGTGCGTGTGCTTCCAAAAAGCTGAAAATTTTTTCAAAATTCAGAGAATTAAATAAAACCAAAAAATTTTAAAGTTGACATTTGTAAATAACAACTGGGTCCAATAACTCTGTAAAAAGTCAGGCATCAATTTTTACATATTATGAACAGGACTCCCAACTTCGAAATCGATAAAAGAATCATTTTTCAATTTTGACAATTGTTGTGGCTTCAGGAAAGTCTAAGAAATGCTAATCTACAAAAACAAAAATGATTGCCCCCACCAGAACCCCCAATAAAAAAGTTGTGCCATTTTTGGTTCAAAACTAGGAAAAACGTGGCAGGTGGAAGATAAACAAAAAACGAAGCATCAGAATTCTGTGTACTTGTAAAATCTGTAGTGATATTTTAATGAATAAAAGAATTTAGTAATAGTGAACACACCTTAAATGCATTTATCAGTGTCATCCTAGTTTGGGACAATTATTTTTTTTTTTTTCTTGGATGACACAAAACTTTTAATTAAAATTCCATTATCTTCTAAAAAAGTAATTATTTTCTCATAAAGAGACCGTTATTTAGATAGTTGCTGCATGATGAGGAGATCAATTTACAGAATGAATGACTCAAATATTTCTTAAGCATTTTAATGGTGTTTTTATTTTTTTTTTTTTTTTATTAAGCTACAAACGAGATATAAATGATAATAAAGTTAAAAAAAATGATTTGGGGGTGATTTAAAATATTTGGTCGGGTGATGTGTTGCTTTTCATTATGGTGTTGAAAGAAATTAATCTGAAACCCTGAATCCAGCACAACACACACCTTTTGTGAATTTGTCTGGCATTTGTATTAAATTCAAATACTAGCTTGTAATTTCAACCAAATCAAAAAAAAGCTATTGGACTATCAGTTACTGGCAAATCAGTGATGTACTCTATTCATATTTCTCATTAAAAGCAAAACCTGTGAATATTTAAATAGGGTATTCTTATTTTGGTATTGTTTAACATTCATACCTTAAAAAAAAACAAACCCAAAAACTGTCAAAAGGACAGTTATTCCCTTGACACCACTATTATTGTATACACTTTTTTGACACTCTGCAATATTTATTTACAAGATCATAAAATATGTAAACCAAATACAATGCGATATTTATTATTTACCATTTTATAAATATGTAAACAATTTTTTTTTTTTTTTTTTTAAATCTAATAGTGTTTAATATCGTTGTTACCAATTCTTAAAAAAAAAAAAAAAATATATAAATTCACTTTCATATGTTTTAGTTTTTATTAAAGTTGTAATCATCTTTTTAAAACTGAACATTGCTGATGAAGTCAAATGTGTATACATTAATGAGTAGTATTAATGGAATAACTGACCTTTTCACAAACTCTATTTTTATTTTTTTTTTCTGCTGACAGAAAAGTTATTTTCTTATTTTTTGTTTTTTAGATTCCTGTACATTCCACCCTGGGGTACCTGTGTTCCATGACACCATCAAAAAATGGTCATGCTGCAATAAATCAAGTGTTGACTTTACTGTCTTTCTTGACATTCCAGTAAGTGGATTTCTCTTAAAATTAAAAAAAAAAAAATTAACATATCTTTAATTGGCCTCATATGTCCAAGACTTATTTGAGTGAAAATTAATTTGAGCATAAGACATGAAGTTTTATGAAATAACAAACCACAAAATAAAATTTTATGCTGGTTATTAGGGATATAGAAATCTGAAACTGTCCTATCCAATTTACCTCCCTTAGAACTCATTTAAAAATTAATTTCAGTGACAGTAGATTCCAAAAGAAAAATGAAATTTTGCTAATTGATATCAACTGATTATTGACTGGTGAAATCTGTACCACCTTTTATTTTATTTTATTTTATTTTTTTTTCATTATTTACTAGAATGTTTTTGCAACACACTGACAAATGTTGAAATCCTCACAATATTTAGTATTGTTGAATTATCACTGAGATTTACAATTCTTTCGTACAATTTCAGAAACCAATCAATGAACTTTGAATAAGCTGATTTGTTTGGAAAAATACTTTGATAAAAACCCTACTTTGCAGTTTAATAATTAATTTAATTTTATAGGACTTCATGGTAAACAATATGTTTCAAGAAAATTTCTTTTTTTTTTTTTTTTTTTTTTTTTTTTTTTTTTTTTTTTTTTTTTTTTTTTTTTTTTTTTTTTTCTTTTTTTTTTCTTTTTTTTTTTTTTTTTTTTTTTTTTTTTTTTTTTTTTTTTTTTCTCTTTTTTTTTTTTTTTCCTTTCTTCTTCTTTTTTTTTCCTTAACAACAAAGAATAAATTCTTAGGAGTTCTTACAACAGACAACTGGCTATGCATAAATATTTCTTTCTAGAGCCAAATTCCATCATTTTGATGCATTTGGCCTTGTGATTTGTTTATAGTTCTTGCAAATGCAGGGTGAACTGGAAACTAGATTCTTGTATATATAAAAACTTAAAAGATATACAAAAACAATATTGCATTTTTATTAAATAAGTCTTTGTTATTTTAATCATTAAATTGTTTTTAAAATGGTGGAAGTATTTTGAATATTAAATAAAACTTAATTTTTCAAAAAAATTTAATGAAAATTTATTGTACTATGCTACACAATCCAGTAAAACCAATTGTACTTTGTACCTCCCCCCTTACCTGTTTGCATTTCTCCACAAAATTTGGTTTCTATCAGTCAATATATGGTTATTTTAGAGAGTATGGCAGATGGACAGAAGTTACAGAATTTTCTATATAGATTTATTTATTAATTATATTATTCTAACATGATGGAAACAGATGTTGACTTTAAAGATAAAAAATTTGACCATGTTGAACTTAGGACCATCTCAAAAAACATTGTGTCAAAAGGATGTTTTTCTCATGATGCCATTATTACTATATTCTCCCTTGATGGTAAGTTTTTTTTTATTTTTTTTTACACATTTTCTTTCTCAAGAATTGACAACAAAAATATTAAACACTATTCAGGTTTGTAAAAGTAAGATGTGAGAAAAATTTAACATTTTTTTTCACAAGATCATAGAATTTAATTTGTGTATTATAACAATTGTTATAATAATTATAAAATATTCTTATAGTTCATTACAAAAATGATATTTACAAGATAATAAAAAATATGTGAACAAACTATGATAAAATATTATTTCCCATATTATAAAGATGGTTTTGTCATGCTTTTTATTAACATTCAAAAAATATGTTTCTAAAACAATAAAAAATTTATGAGGGAATATATAATATTAGTGTCAGGAGAAAAATTCTTTTGATACACTTTTATTTTTTTTCTCTTTTTTTGATGGAGTGTTTGCTGAAATTGACTTTAAAAATAAACAAAATAAATTTCCATGTTTCTGTAATTTAACTTTAAAATCCTATGTATAAGTTAAGTGTCTTTTTGGTTATTTTCTTTGGGCCTTTATTCTAAACACTAGCATAGTACCCATAAAAATATAAACAGTGTAGAGATAGGAATTAACACTGCATAGTGATTGTCAGTTTCATGCTTTATGCAATCATCAGATGATCACTTATGAAATTGATGGTCACCATGCAATGTTTATTGCTATATCCACACTGTTTCATGTCTACAAATGTCCCATTGTATCATAAATGTAGTAATTTTCTATATATAAAGCATCAATCAGCTAAGTAACACATTCTATTTGTATTAATCATGTGAGGCATATTTTTGAGAAATTAATGGTCAAGGTCAAATTATTTTATTTGACCTCTAACAAAACAAAAAAAATCATCTTTTAGAGTTATCCAAGTACTTTAAAATATTATATAATTTAGCTTTGTAGGTGGAAAAAACAACTGAGATATTTATATATAAACTTTGTGTGTATTTTCCCAAATTCACCTTTTTGGTAATGGTCAAAAGATCATGTCTCAGGAACCTTTGACCTAGAGATGTAAAATAGGCACTATTCTATTCATATCATGAAGGTCTTATACGTCTACCAAATTTGAAAAAAAAAATCAGTGTTGTTGATAGTCAGACCATTGTTAATTTGATATATACATATATAGACAGGGTTCAATGGATAAACTGTCATCTAATATACACAAAAATGAAAATAATACTGACATCTCATTTTAACAGATATATTTACCAAAATTACACAAAAATATCTTGAAATACTAAAGAGTAAATTTATTCAATATAATCGCCATTGGCTTCAACTACAGCCTCCAGACGACTTCAGAATCTCCTGCAACTCTTCTCAAAGGTATCCTTTTTTAAGTTGCTGCCATAATCCTTCCCTTCAGTTCATCTTTGGTGTTACAAGGAGTTTTGTTGGTGTATCGCTCAACTGTGCCTCACACGTAATAATCAAGGGGGTTGAAGTCTGGGGAGTTAGGTAGCCAGATGTAAGGGGTGATGTGGTTGCAGAAATTGTCTGACAGCCATCACTGCTTTTGTAGCATGGTGCATAGTCCTGTTACCAGACATAGGCTCTTCCAGCAGCCACCCTCTTGATTCTGGGCAGTACTACATCCTCAAGGCACCTGATGTATATCTCTGTGTTTAGTCTGAGTCACTGTGGGAAGATGAATGGAGGCATAACTGTGATGTACGGATATATCCTTCAACTCTTTCTGAATCCTCTGTACCCAAACGCTCATAAACGTTTGTATTGGAACGTCTGGTGCAAATACCAAGCAGGTACAGCATGACATTTTGGAATTTCTGGTGGAGTGAATGGTGTCATTATTTTCTTTTTCTCACAGATGGTGCCCAACTGACCCTATTATGCTGTGCTGTTGACAAAATCATAACAATGCATATGCACAAAAATAAAATGGCGACAATTTACTCATCGCACTCTGTGTGTGTGTGTGTGTGTGTGTGTGTGTGTGTGTGTGTGTATATATATGTACATGTGGATTTTCTTTATTCCAGGGTTGTACCAAAGGAAGACATAATCCCACTCCACCCACAAAAGAAGTTTCAAAATCAGTTGAAAAAGAAGTAAGTACTTAAATTATGATTTAGATTTTAAATGAAAGTCTTGTTTTTTCTTCAAGGCCTTTCTGTTTTGAATCTTTCAAATTCTCACATAAACAATTTAAAAAAAAAAATTATTTTGTGTGCATGAAGGACTCTCTCAATCCATGCCTACATATATTTTCTATTCTATAAATATATCACAATATTTTATTTTTTTAATCAGTATCACCCTATGCAAGGCAGTAAAGCCTCTAAGACACAATAAGTTACTTGATGTGGAAGAATTAGAAACAGAAACATTAATAATGAGTGTAAAGAAAAAGAGAGTAATCAGAAGGACAATAGATAGCATTTGACAGCACATTTAAATTTTTGTAGATTAAAGTTGGCTGGAAAGCATGGCGTCAGAAGGGTTTTCCACAAGTGAGAAGTGTGAGAAAAGAAACTGTTAGCATAGAAGTGATGGCTACATCTAGCCAGATCAACTGTAAATTGATGAGATCTCGACTGCCTAAATTCAAAAAGTCTAGCGATGATAGCAAAGAGCTCATTTGAACAATTACCATGAAAATATTTATAGACAAAGTACAGAGGCAACCTTATGGCAGTAGAGAAAGTGACTGAAGCTGAGCCACTAGATCAGGGCTAATAATATTGTTGATTTTTATTTGGATCTTATCAAGGAGCTCAGGGTACGTAGCAGGAGCACAAGACCATATGTCAGCAATATTCTAAGCATGGACGAATAGAAGACTTATAGATATGTAAGATAAATTCTGGAGAGAAAAAATTGTCTCACATGGTACAGTGAACCAAGCAATGGATTCAATATAGTCTTTCCACTTAAGCTGAGAACGATAGCCCAAGAAAGTGCAATAAATTACTTTCCTAGTGGTTAGCAAAAGCCATGCTGATGGAAGGCTGAGAGGAGTCTTTCAGATGATTAATAGAAGTTTAGTTTTGGAGTTATTAAAATTAACAAGCCATCTTTTGCCCCAGTTTACAATGGACTTGAGGTTGTTTTTGACCTTGTCCGACTGATCAGCCTTACTATTGAGGCAGGAGTAAAATGCCAAGTTGAGAACTGATGTCATCAGGAAGGTCATTAATGAAAATTAAAAACAGTAGGACCAAGGATGCAGTCCTTGGAGACACCCATGTTAGTATGAAAGGATATAGAAGAGTGGCCATTCGGGATAACTCTCATTTCACAATTTGATAGGAAAGACTGGATCAATTCAAAAATTTGTCCAGAAACACCGTAACTTTTCCACTTGTGCAAAAGACCTGTATGCCAAGTCCTGTCAAAGGTTTTCAAGATGTCTAATGCTGCAGCCTGGGCTTTACTGTTTTTATCTAGTGCATAATAGATTCTTTCTATAATTATTGTCAATATATCAGCAGTTGACCTGGTGAAACAAGAGCTATATTGCTTGTCTGAAAAAAAGGCCCTGCAATAAGAGATGCATAACCAGTTCGACATTGATTAGGGCCTCTTGGAGTTTCCCAAACATAGGTAGAAGGCTGATAGTTGGAAGGGTCGGACAATTCACCAGAGTTCTTAAAAACTGGAACCACAGATGATGACTTCCAGCAGAGAGGAAAGCAGGAGGCAGTGAGGTGTTTATTATACAGGAAAACAGGAAACAGTTTGGGAACACACTTCTTAATGACTCCAAGATACTCCAAATGTGTCAAGAGTAGAGTTTAAGGAGAATTTACAAGCAAAGCATTCAGCATCGGTTTTGATGGTCATGGCATCAATTGCTATAAAAAGTATTGATTGATCATACCAGTGATCTTCTTGTGGTTAGGAGTAAATTGGAAAATTGAATGCCTGTTGTTTTTTTTGTTTTTTTTTTTTTAAATAATTTTATGTAATATGATACATCTATTTGATCACACAATCCATGATCACCATTTAGTCGAGCCATATTACTGAATATATTGTAAGATTATTAATCTTCCATATCCTCTTTATTTAAGCTAATACTATGGTGTAATGGTAAGCAGGTTAGTTTCACAAGTTGTTGTTAGAAAATTTATTTTGTATATCCATAGATGCATACTTATATACATACACACACACACACACACACACACACACATATATATATATATATATATATATATATATATATATATATATATATATATATATATAGTGTGTGTGTGTGTAGAAACCTTTTTTTTTTTTTTTTTTTTTAAGTAGCAAGGGCAAAAAAAAAAGAGACGTGCAGGTAGTGTAATGATTATTGGCATGGAAAGTGAAACCAGCAACCCAAATTCAAATTTCAGGTTAGTCTGTTGCTTTCACTTTCGCACTAATTCCCTTGATAAAGGCATAAATATATTTCTCACCCCCCAGCTATGGGTTAAATAATAGACTAGATTCTCCAGTCTTGGTTACAACCAGTCTAAAAGAAAATACTCTGAATTTCCAAACATGGCAATGGGAAACCACTTCATCTTTCCCAAAGAAGGCATGGCAGATAATAAAGAAATGGAATCTGTGGAGATTTATTCTCACCTATGTTCTGAAAGGATGTGGCAAATCTTATATATATATATATCATGATTCAAGCTATGTACATAAGTTGGTTTAAACCTGGCATATCTTAATAAAACAATCAAAACCATATATATATATATATATATATATATGAAGATCTCCATATCTGGTTTATCAGGTCGTACAAAGAGGTGGTACTGTCTGGGAATCCCTGTTTTTGGATTTACTTTGCAGGTAGTGGTGAGCCAGTTTACTATTTCTTGCTTTGGCAGAAAGGAGAAAATTGATAAAAAGATTTTGTTGCACTGGTCTTTGAAATAAGGTTACTGGCTCATGCTGATTGAATTTGCCAGAGCTTAATAGAAAATAGGTATCATATAACTATTTACTGAATTTAGCTTAGTCTGGCACAAGGTTTTCTGTAGTGGAGCACCTAGTTAGGCTCAAATTTGCTATAATGAATTATTCTGAGATGAGCTTGCTAACTATTGCATTACAATAGACACCCAAATTTTTGCTTGATAGTTTTTTTCACATTGTGTGCTTCATGATTCAAGCTATGTACATAAGTTGGTTTAAACCTGGCATAATCTTTTAATAAGACAATCAAAACCATATTTAATCATCATCTCTTTCTTCTCCTCTTCTTCCCCTTTTTTCTCCTTTTTTTTTTTTTTTTTTTTTTTTTCTTTCCATCTCAAGTAATGCAGGAGTGTCCCACTAGCATGCAAAGAGCTACAGAGAATGTAAGTAAGGGAAAAGACTGAGTATATTGGGAGTGGGTGAGGAAAGGATAAAAAGTATTGTGGGGATCAAAGTAATAGGAGATGTCAATTGACATTATATTTAAATTTTTGAAGATTATAGTTATCGGGGAAGCAAGTAAGAGGAAAGGAGTTCTACTGTTGCAAAGTGCGAGAAAAGCTGTTGGAGTAGAAGCGATTACATTTGACTGTTTCAAGAGTAAAAGAGTGGGACCAAGGTGCCAATCTAGTAGCACGTTTAAATTCATGTAGTCGGGGCACCAGTGAAAACAGCTCATCAGAACAGATGCCATGAAAATATTTATAGAAAAGACAGAGGTAAGCCACATTATGTTGGTGAGAATGTGACTGGAGTTGACCCAAGCATGTTCTCAACAAATCCAAAGACAGATATGCAATGTGATTGGTCCAGATCATATATGGCAACAGTATTTCATGAATGGTAGATTTGTAGATGTGAATGATGGACTCAAACGAGAAAAATCTTCTGGCACGACACAGAGAACCAACTTTCCTTGCTGTAGCTGCAGCAATTGATTCAGTGTAGTTGTTCCACGTAAGGCCAGTGGAGAACGTGAGACCAAGTAAGTGCAGTGAGGCACTCTTGTAGAGTTGAGCATCAGCCATGCTAGTAGGAGGTAAAATTCACAAGCCATTTCCTGTCCCAGTCGAGGTTCTTTTCAAGACCAAAGGCCAGGTTAATTTTGTCAGCAATGCCAGATTTACTATAGAGACAGGAGTAAATGGTAGTGTTGTCTGTGTAGATGTGAACTTGAGAATTGATGACGTCAGGAAGAAAATTGATGAAGATGAGAAACGGTGTAGGACCAAGGATGGAGCCTTGAAGAACACCAGGGTTCATATGGAAGGAACTGGAAAAGAACCCATTGAGGGCGACCTTCATTTCAAGGTTAGACAGAAATGATTGAATTAAATCAAATAATCCTCCTGTAATACCGTATCCCTGAAGCTTACATAGAAGGCCAGCATGCCAAACACCTTAGAGATATCTAGAGCCACAGCTAGAGCTTCACCATTATTATCAAGAGCTTGATATACATATTCCTTTATGGCAGTAAGCACATCAGCAGCAAAGTGGAAACCATGTTTGTCAGAGAGCAGATCATGGGAGGTGAGATGCTGAATTTTTTTGTGTAAATTTTAACTCCTCCAGAAAAAAAAATATCTTTTGTATAATGCAACTGGTGACTGAAAATGCATGATTCTGACCTATTATGTAATCCCCCCCCCCAACTGCTTTTTGTGTTAAAAAAAAAAATTAAAAAAAAAAAATGATCATAAAAACTCTCACTATACTCGAGTATATATTATAAATTACATTTTTGGCTTGTATTTATGAAGGTCTTTTTTTTTCTTTTTTTTTTAAATTCCTTTTAGTAAAAATGAATTATTCATTAAAAATTATAAATTTGATAATCTGTATATTGTTATTGGAAAAAATATAATTTTAAAAAGTTGTGATAACCTTAATGAGAATTTTGATGCTAAAATTTTTTTACAATAAAGTTAAAATACTGTAAGATAAAATAAATGAAGATTTCTTTTTTAAAAAGAATAAATTTCTGAATTTATGCTTCCTGGGCCTCTCTTTGGAGTTGCCTCTATTTTATTTTGGGAATAATTAATATTACTTTTTTATTTTAATTTTTATAATTAACACTAGATTTTACAGTGGGCATCATTTGATTAAATATCTTCAGACTTTATGAAACTTTTTATTTTTGTAACATTGTTGTTTTCATTTTTAATGTTGTACTTTTCACCTTTGTGAATTATTGACTAAGTTTCAATGTTTTTCTCCTTACAGCCACTAACAGTTCGCCTTCCCAAACCTAAGGACCCACCTCCACGACCCTCTGAAGATGAACCTATCACCAAATTAAAAATGACTGTCCTCGACAACTTGAAAGAGAAGCTTAATAATTTAATGGCAGACTTAAAGATCAATGATAAAAGAGGTGAGTGAACCATCCGTTACTGAAGTCTTGAGAGGAAAATCAAAGTGAGGGGGGTGGGAACTTTCTGCAAGCAGCTGAGAATCCTAGAATTGCTTTAAACATACCTTTTGTTTTTTTTTTTAATATATTCTAACTTTTCTTTATGGCTTGAATGTTAGAGTAGATTTTAAGTGGGAATATCCAAAATGAAGCCGCCGCCGTCATGCCTGTTAATAACAGTTACTTAACATTGCATTTTACTCAAATCTTGACTTTGTTAATTACTCACAGATAGTGTGTACATGGATGCTGCTCCAGAGCCCCTCATCTGAAATGTGGACTTGACATTCTCATCTGCAATGTCTGAGAGAGTGTCATCTTCTCTGGGGTGGGTGTTGTAATCTGGTTGTTTTCCACCTTTGTAACCAAGGTGCAGCTGATCTGATCATGTGAATATATACTCGGCAACCAGAAGACGACCTCTGGTCAAGTCTGCACCTAGATTCCTTGATTGTGACATCGAGTGTCATGTCCATTCTGCCACAATCTAGGACTAGGCACACATTACCTGTATACTAAGAATGCTAAATATTCTAACCAGTGACATACAACTGTACATATTAGGGTCAGTGGTATATCTATCTATCTGACATTTTAATTACTTCAAATATTCACTATAAGAAAAGCAACAAAAACGTTGGCTTAAAAATAAATCCATTAATTCCATAGGAATTACTTTGTTTACATTTCAGATAGGAAACTGAAAGGATATGGGCTTATGAGAAATAAAAACATCTGAATGATGAAATTTACTTTCCTTAAAAAGGAAACCTTACTGGACTGTGATGCTCTTCATAGCTGAGCAGTAAAGCATGTTGGATCAAATGGTGGTTTTTCACAACAAAGGGGGGGATGAATGTTTGATCCCTGCCAGAGAGCACATTTTCTTGAGATTTCTTAAATATGCAGGCCAATAGATATAATATACAGTTTGGAATAAAAAATGAGGTGTCTATTTCAAATATGAGTATCCACTAATAATGATAATAACAATAATTTATAATGTAATCAATATTTATATTATTCTAGTTTGGGATTAATTTATGTATTATATATTTTAAATAACAGAAACTTCAAATTGAAATTTTTAAAAATTCAATAGTAACATTTACTCCCTTTCATTTATTAGACATTAAATTACATCACTTAGTATCCTGAAATTGGGTTGAAGTTTGCAAAAATTAGTAAGTAATAATTATTTAGGGAGTTCTGACTGTTAATTACTCAAAGTATTTTTTTTTATTTTGTTGACATGAATTTTTTTTTTTTTTTTTTTTTTTTTTTTTGAATTGATTCATTGGTTACTTGTCTCATCTGTGTTGAAAATCACGAGAATTAATTCTGAAGATTTTTCATTTACCCTAGAAATAATTTTAGCAAGTTTGAATCCCAAGAACTGAGGTCCTTAGGTGTTCTTAATTTTTTGTTTTTAAGCTAATTTTTGTTTAACTTTCAGTTTGGACTTAATAGTGAATTCATGCCAAAATTACATAAAACACATTTAAAACAATTTCATGGCACCTTGACGAACAGTAATAAGCAAGGACCTTTTAATTTATATTACTGGTTAAGTTTATTTTTATTTCTTTATGTATTATCAGTTTTTATACTGAATTCTTATTCCAGAGGTTTTTTTTCTTTCCTAGGTGATTCTAATGATATAACTATTGGAACTCCTTGTCAAAATTCTAGTTGTAAACAGGTAAGCCCTGATGGCCAAATTTTTCTTCTCTATTGCAAATATTTTTCTGCTTTCCTCCACTTGTTTAAAAGAAAGCAATCGTTTCTAGTTTGGCCAAACCCAGCCACTTTTAAGTTTTAATCATGTACACAAAATGAAAGCATCATTTGCTTTCTATTGTTACTCTTAGACCATAAGTTGATGGTTATTGATAGGCAACTCTGATATACACTGCTTAAACCATTATTAATCTCCACTGCTATGAATTATAAAAATTTAAAAAAATATATATTAAAAAAAAAATATAAATATAAAAAATCTGCTATTAATTATAAAAATTTAAAAGCTAAAAAATAAGTGTTAATTTATAGTAAAAAATTTAAAAGCTAAAAAATAAGTGTTAATTTATAGGTTTCTTTAAAAAAAAAAAATTATTACAGGTTTATAATAATAAAAATAATATATAATAAATAACAATATAATAATTATAAATATATTTATAATAATATTATATATATATATATATATATATATATATATATATATATATATATATATATATATAATAAAAAAAAGTTTGGGATTCTACTTATAACTTCTTTATATCTATTGTCCCACTTTTTTGGGTGGGGAGTAGGCAAGGGTTTAATGATTGTAGAATGGCAATAAAAAGCAACAGTAATAATAAGAACAAAATACTAGTGAAAAATTTACAGCCACTTCATATATCCTATTTGGGGGGAACATTATACTCCCCCCCACACACTAATAAAAAATTTAGCAGATAATATTGATTAAAACAAAAACGAGCAAGATACATTGAATGTTACTAGATCTTTGTCTATGTCCCCTATTTCTCTCTCTGCAGCTATAGTTTCTTTTTGTGCATTTATTTTAAAAAAAACAAAAACAAAAAAAAAAACTTTAATACTGTAAATTGCAGTGTACAAATCAAGCTCAAGAGTTTTAGCTCAAAATTCTGAATTAAGCCTATATCTACTGCATAGGTAACACCCAAAAAGAAGATATTTTTTAGGCTTGAAAACTTGACCACACAATTTACAAGTATTCCCAACACAGGGAGGGGGGGGGGGGGGTGTGTGGGTCTCGTAGGCTGTCAAAATATAGTAATGCTATTTGATAGACATCCATTTATCTTGCAAGATAATGATAGTGCCCTCTTTGGTCAAACATTCAGTGCTTTTGCAAGCTGTGTTTGGGTGGCTTAACAGACCAATCTTTGCATGGCACTCTCTTCTGCAGGTGTGACAGATGAAGCTGGAATGTGGAATGAACGTCTGACACTGTTCTCTCTGCTTCCTTCGTTGTCTTCTGATCTCCAACAGTTGGTTTCATCTTTTCCTGACCTTCATGATAACTCCTTGAACAGCATGGCACCAGCCACTGCAGTCGTCTGCTAGCTGTTCCCAGAATCGATGCCTGTGAGTTTCAGGTTCCTCTTGCAAGCATCCTTGAAACATAGTGTAGGGTAGTCACCAGACGGTATCCCGTGGTCAGCCCACTGTACAGAACATCATTTGGTATACTGCTGTTATTCATTCGATGTATTTGACCCAGTCATCGAAGACGATATTGACAAAGTAGTAGATGTATGGTACTACTAGTACTAAAAGATGGTATATTGAGTAATCAGGTGGGAAATAAAAATAAGTTGTATGGTTAGATTTGGACGTTTGTGACTGGTTGGTTTATGTAGTGTAATTGATAATACAGCTACCCTGTGCAGGTAGCCTCCTTGAGGAAAAGAGATACAATGTTTTATTATTTCCAATTTATGGTCTACTTTAAAGTTGAGAGAAAGCAATAGAAATACAATGAAAGAAATACTGGTTAAAAAAAAAAAAAAAAGTAATGACAATATTTTCTGTCAGTCATGTGACATGCATAATACATGCTTAGGCGATCATGTATCTTTCGATACATGACTACGAGGCATATTTTTTCCTGCAGTAGGTTGCTATTTCTTTCTGCAGTAGACGAGTTGCCATCCAAGGCAATAGAACCCGGTCTGTCCTGCTATTTACCCATAGCTTCAGGGTGGGAGAAGAGGATTCATACCTTTCCCAAGGGTATTAGCACGTAATTGAATGTAATGGATTCTTGAACTTGGCTCTCCGATTCCTCAATCCAAGCCACTATCCATTACTTCAATGTAATGAATTGAAATAATATTATCAATAAAAGCCTGTTAGATTTCATTTCTTCACTTCCCCAAAATATTCCATTTTATTCTAAGCAAGTTAAAATAACTTTTATGATTGTAATTAATTATTGTTGTTTTAAAGATCCAAATTAGACATTATATTTATGGCCATATCATGTTGAAACATTGGTTCCCATACAATCACCAAAGTTGAGAAACCTCAAGCCTAGATGAGTGACCACTTGGGAATACCAGGTGCTGTAAACTTGGATGTGCAGGTAATATAATGGACAATTACTCTGAATTGTTATTCTGAGAGCCAAGTTCCAATTCCAAGTGGGTTTGTTATATTAACTTACATGCAAATACCCTTCGGGGATGACATGAATCCACCTCTTCCCACCCCCCAAACCATGGGTTAATTAGTAAAACTTGCATCACTAAAAACATTATCTCCCAAAAAAAAAAAAAAATTCTTGCAATCTAAAAATATTTTCTGGCTTTAAATAATCTACCAAGCCATAAAAAAAACGAAGTTCGACATTTGTAAATCCAGCTTCGGCTTATAGTGTTCTGCATCTAAAGTTCCATTTGGTTACCAATGAAGTTTTGTATCCAAAACAAAACACAAAGATATTCTAAGCTATGCATCTATAAAATCTGGAAATAATCAAAGTAGCCAACTTGTTATTTTATCAGATGGAAAATATCATTGGTAATTTTGATAGGACATTTTTCAGGGAATAATTTTTGTAGGTTTTCATTTATTAAACCTTCCTCAAGCTACAAATTAACAGTTTAAAAAAAAACTGCATACATGCATTTATGGATATTTGTATAAACATTTTCTAACAAAACGTGTGTAAATTTTGTTCATGTCTTGCAGCTCTCAAACATCTGAACTTTATCATATGTGGCTCTTACATTAAGTAAGTTTAGCCATCTCTGATCTTATGAATGTTAATTACAAAAGTTATTACCAAAAACATTTTTCCATATTTTTTATGAATGGACCAGTTTATTACAGTGGTTGTCTGTATTTGTTGCCTTTTATTATTTATTTATTCAGTTCCAAATAGAATTAATTATGGGCACTTGGGATTATATTTTAGACAAAAATTGTGCCTAATGATGTCTATTTTCACTTTTGAGTGTATCCTGCAAATTTTTATCAGGATTTTTGCAGTCATACCCTTTTCATTGAGCTGATCTTGAATAGTGAAAGATATTCATTTTATTTAATAATGGTCAGGCAGAGAAACAAGAGATGGATTTTCATCCAGATTTCATCTAGTTGGCAATTTAAAAGAAAAATTTCTTTCAATATGATAAGTGCTGACTCTGAATTTGAAACTGGGCCACCCACAGATGATTAGACATAGAATGCAAATGCTGTGTCTGGGAAATAAAAATATGCTGGAGTTCAACAACAATAAATGATTCCATTGGAGAGCCATTATCCAGAATGTTGTTGACTTTTTATATTTTTTTATTTTTAAAATTTTTTCAAATGGACTAAAAATTCCAAGCAAGCATCACACAATTACCAAACTAATTCAGTCATTTTATTTACATTGTAATTTACAGTTGATAGGCTTAGTGCCATATTCTGTTGAAAAACCTTTTCTCATATGATAACCAAAGTTAAACAGCATCGATCCTTGTCAGTCCCTAGATGGGTGACCAATTGGGAATATGAGGTGCTGTAAGCTTGGATGTGTGGCTGGTGTAATGGATAACAGTTGGCAAAAGGCAATTGGGGAGCTGAGTTCCAATTTCAGTTAGGTTTCTTATATTCACTTACATGCAAAAAGTCTTAGGAAAGGTAGGAATCTACCTATTCTAACCCCTGGTAGGACATGATCCATAAATTATTATCATCTCCAAAATATTCTTACAAACCAAAATATCATCTCAAAAAAAAAAAAAAATGGTGCTGGAGAGGAAAAGTTCAAGAATCATTAATCTAATAGGTTGTGAGTGTTAAGGATTTACAAGCATAGATTCACCAATTTTTTTTTTTTTTTTTTTTAATTAACATGAAAGTGCTCATTTTAATTAGTAGGTGAGCCAAACTACTTTTGTTAATTTGAGTTCATGGGTTCAATCCTGGTAACATTCATTATTCAACAATGAGAAAGATTCACTATTCACTTTGAAGTGATCCAAGATCAGCCAATTAGATTTTTCTTTGTTTATCAATCTTTTCCAATATATTTCGACAAAGAATAGAAAAAAAAAAAAACTTCCACCACCCTAACTTTTGATTTATTTTTCTCTCTCTGTTTCTTGTTTTTCAGTCGTATGAAGGGGAACATTCAAACTCACAAATTTGTGTTTACCACAGTGGTCAGGCTGTGTTTCATGAAGGGTAAGTCCTTGTAACAAGTCGAATTCACCTGTGCAGCAAGATTTGAATGTAGCCATACAATAGAAAAAAAAATAGAAATCATTTATGATATATCGTTTAAATTAGCTTACGGTCAAATCACGCTGAAAACACCGGTTCTCGTTCGATCACCGAAGTTAAGCATCGTAGAGCCAGGTCAGTAGTTAGATGGGGGACCGCTTGGGAACACCTGGCACTGTAAGCCCCCAAAGTCCAACCCTTACCTCACAGTCGGTGGGGGGGGGGTGTAAACAGTAGTGTCAGAGCTATACCGCCCGGAACTACGTTCCTGGTAGAGACCCACAAAAAAGCGGACAGGTCTGACACACCGGCTAACAAGGGCTCTGGTGAAAAAATCAAGGGCGTCTGTATCGTAAACCGGGCGGCTTCTGGTCGTTCCTGTCTCTGCGTCCTGTGGGAACCCAGCGGCAAGCAAGAACATTATCTGAGTAGGCCTGGGTACCCTACTTCTGTAATTTATCCCAAGAATCTTCTTCTCATAACAGGAAGAAGCCGGCTCAATCTGCCCAGGGTGAATGCCGCATCAGTACAGTAGTAGTAGTAGTATCGTTTAAATGGTAGATGCATGGTTGAGAATATTAATATTCTAAACTAAAAGACTTTGGTTCAAATGTCACTATGGTCGATTTATCAAGTAGGTGTCTTCTTGATATCATCAACTTTAGGAAAAAAAATTCCTGCATGCTTCAATGCTGTGAAGCACTTGAAAACCATATGACAGGTTGACACAAGCCTTGCAAGTGAAATTGGTATTTTTGGAAGCCGTTGATAGTTTGTACAAGCATAAAGTCCTTTTGACCAACGATCTCTGAGTATATTTACCTTTGTTCAAACAGCTCAGATTATGTGCTCTCTCCTAGAAATTGTAACCGAGATCAGCTCAGAATAGTTGCAGTATACCCCACAAGTTGGTTCTGTGGGTGTTGAACAAGGACAAATATGCCTGAGCAGGCATTTGCATCAGGAATTAGCTTAACCACCCTCATAGACTACATCATACTTATTATAAAACCCAGGTTGTGTGTGTGTCTGTACATTTATATATTGGATAGGATTTCCTACATTTTTCAACCGATTTCAACAAAACTTCACAGGACTACGTAAAATTAGCTTGCGGTGGTTCTGACAGTGCCAAAAATTGGAAAAACACTAATTGATTTTGCACCAAATCAATTTGAAAACACGATTAAGAGGCATTGCGAGAATGAAAGGCGGACAACTCATATTGAGTTATACTTATAAAACCCAGGTTGTTTGTGTGTGTGTGTGTGTGTGTTCATTTATATATGAGATCGGATTTCCTACATTTTTCAACCGATTTCAACAAAACTTCACTTTTTTTTTTGGCAGGTAGTGTTTCTTATTCTTGCACACTTTTTTCTTTATTTTTACATTCAGAATGCTTTAAAAATTCCATTTACAAGACAATTGTTTATAATAAAATTCTATTCAATTGGTAGACTCATAATGATTGAAAACAATGTTTTTGTTTGAGTTTGGGTTTGACCAATTCGTAAAAAAAAACAAAAAACAAAAAAAACTAATTAAGACAAGCGTGTCCGTCAACCTTAAACAATAATCTTTGTCAATTTTATTTTTCAGTCTTTATGATGGTTGATACTTGATCTATCTCTTACTGTTACATCCCCGGGCAACACCGGGCTCTACTGCTAGTAGTCTCCCAAAACCAACAAATGCCTACTGTTTTTAAATATCAAATAATCAGAACTTCAGATCTTGTGAAAATGTTTTTTTTTTTTTTATTATTATTATTATTGTAAATGATTTTGGAATTTTCTTTTGTGTGTTTTGCCTCTTCTGGGTGAGGGCAATCGTGTTTCTCCACAACTTCCTGTCATTAGTAACATTTAGTAAGGTTTGCCTTTTCACCATCACTCCTAGTCCCTGTTCTACAATCCATTTTCAGAAAGTTAAGAAGTTTTCCCCTCTGACCTTCAATATGTCTTGTGAGTGTCAAATTCCAATCCCTCAACTCTCTCTTTTTAATTCTAATTACAAGCCCACCTCAAGCAAATTACATCTGCTGCTGCTGCTGTGTATATGATTGGCTTTCATCTCCACTCCTCCACCTTTTTATTGCCCTTTCTTTTCAGCTGTATGAAATATCTGGCTCTAAAAATTCATTCAAAGCTGATCTTGCCTATGAATGCAATGCAAAGTAACTTATTCATTTTGAGTTGATGCTTCCTAAATAATTGCTAATAAGGTTGTGGGGAGAAATCTACAATGACTTATTAACACCTGTGTGGCTGGGGACATACCTATAAGCCTTTATCAAACTTACATTGCCTACTGTGTGTGTGTGTGTGTGTGTATATATATATATATATATATATATATATATATATATATATATATATATATATATATATATATATATATATAGGTTAGAAACGGTACAAAAAGCGTATTAAGGCATTAAAAACTAGAAATGTTGTATTGCAGGCCATGATAAGTTTAAAATAAAACACACACCAGTCGACGGTTTCGTCCCCTCTCGTCAGAACTGTTAACGGGGAATTTAGATTATGAGGAAAGAAAAAAAAAAAAGTCTGTCATGGGTGACATGAATGAATGGACAGGGAAGGAAGGAAAGATAAAATTATACCAACCAAGCTGCTAGAAGCGCAGAACAGCAAGTCAAGCAAACAATCTCTTTGTTTGCAAAGAGAAGGCTGCTTGGACCTGATGTAAAAGCGATTCCAACACCTTGAGATGGAAAAGTGAGTGCGAACTGGCCAAGACGGAAAACCAGTTCACACTGAAATCCATTGCACAAGTTGGATTCTTTATAAAATGATCCGCAATCGAAGACCCATAAGTGTTTCGAATGGTATCGCCCAAAGAAAATTTTTTTTGTTTAGTATTATCGCAGGTACGTGTTGTTTAATTCTCGTCCAACCGCTGTAATCGTTCTACCTATGTAGTCGCATCCACAACTACATTTGAAATAGTAAATAACAGAGTTAATATGGTGGGGGGTAGAACATCTTTACACATAGATGGAAGTACAGACCTTGTTTGAAAAACAACACGAACGTTCGCACAAAATAACACTCACGTGAACTACATGAAATACGCCTTGGCGAAGGATTCACTAATCCTACCCAACCACGGTAAACGAAGATAGACCGGACATTTACCAACTGAAGCAGGTTTGATTTTTTGTTGAACCTGGCGGTCTCATCTCGAATAACCGATTGAACAATGTTCAACGGATAACCATTGTTCACAAAGATCTCAGTTAAACAACTGATTTCATGTTTCAGGTGTCATCCGAACAGATCATTAACGCCCTATGTGTCAGGGTCCTAATCAAATTAATCTTTTGTTGTTTTAGGACAAAGGAGTCCCAACTGGTATATAGTCCAACTTGTGCGATGGATTTCAGTGTGTGAACTGGTTTTCCGTCTTGGCCAGTTCGCACTCACTTTTCCATCTCAAGGTGTTGGAATCGCTTTACATCAGGTCCAAGCAGCCTTCTCTTTGCAAACAAAGAGATTGTTTGCTTGGACTTGCTGTTCGCGCTTCTAGCAGCTTGGTTGGTATAATTTTATCTTTCCTTCCTTCCTGTCCATTCATTCATGTCACCCATGACAGACTTTTTCTTTTCTTTTCCTCATAATCTAAATTCCCGTTAACAGTTCTGTGAGAGGGGACGAAACTGATCGACTGGTGTGTGTTTTATTTTAAACTTATCATGGCCTGCAATACAACATTTCTAGTTTTAATGCCTTAATATATATATATATATATATATAGCATACCTTAAAACTATACATATATATATATATATATATATATATATATATATATATATATATATATATATATATATATATAGTTTTAAGGTATGCTATATTTATATGTTAATGTGTTCAATATCAGGGATAGAGCATATGTAAATATAAAAGTGAATATTGAAGTCAACACCCAGGGGTGACAGTCTGTTTCATGCTAAACACAATCTATCTTCAGGTCAGTGATGCATTGTAGGTAGTTTATTGTATTTCTCTCCAGTAGTTCTCAAACCATTAGAATAATACAATACACTACCCACAATGCATCACTGACCTATAGATTGTGTTAGCATAAAACAGACTGTCACCTCTGGGTGTTGACTTCAGTGTCCGCTATATATATATATATATATATATATATATATATATATATATATATTTCACCCCAATCAAGTAACAAAAGCTATTAAGCCACACTGTGTTGCTGAGAGTGAAATAACCTGAGAAAACAATCATTGATGTGGAGAATGGACAAAAAAAGAACAAGATTCAAGCTGACAGAAGTTGGCAATTGACATTGCATCAAAAGTTTTGAAGATCCTAGTTGACAGGAGGGTAGAAAAGTTTTGCAACCAAGAAGTGCAGGAGAAGAAACTATTAGAACAGAACATGCTGTTATACTTAGCAATTTTGACAGTAAAATGATGAGACCTAACAGCCAATCTAGTACTGCAGTTAAATTCTTGAAATCAACGTACCAAAGCAGAAAGCTCACCAGAACAACAATCATAAATTATAGAAAGCAACTTTTTCAACTGAAATTGAAGTCATTAGTATTTGTTTTAAGCAAACTTGCACTTAGTGTAATTTCCAAACCACTATAGACATATAGTAATATACTGTGCAGCCTGTGTTGTTTATCTTAGTCTGTACTGCAGAGGATCCGATGGAAACCAAAATGCCAGGTATATTTACCTGGTCTTCCCACCAAAGCTGAATGTGACACAAGGTCTTTTTAATGTGAGGGGGTGCCAGTCAAGTATAAAAATTGATTTTTGCCCCACTCCCATGACTGTAATGGGGAAGGTGCTGCCGCAGGATTGGAATCCTCAGGGCTTAGCAACTTCTCCCATCTAAAATGAGGAGAATCATAGCTCCATTTACAGCACAAGATTATTTCATGTATGCCTCAAAAGATCATCTAACACTCAACTATTACTTATATAATTAATGTAAGCAAAAGTTTGTCATTTAGCTGATTCATGTTACCTTCAGCATCCCGACTCCAGAGCTTTGTAGGCAGACCCATCTATCTAGTCATCAGGGGATATCAGCAATTGACTGCCTATATTTCTAAAGTGTTCTTTTTTTATGCACTTATCATTGGTGTAATTTATCTGTGGATATATGTACATGTAGGGTGTCATGATTATTTGTCCTTTTCTTCGTTTTTTTTTTCTCTCCTCTCTCTCGTATATATATATATATATATATATATATATATATGATGTGGATTCTCCCATCAATTTTGACATATGAAGATCCAGCAACCTCACTCAGATTTTATGCTTGTGTCATATGTGACACTTCAGGCCTGGTATTGACCTGCATATAAGTTCACATTTTGTTCAGCAGTGAGGATCTCTGGACATAGCCACATGAACATTTACTGAGATTTTTGCCATTGTTCTTTGTCTCTTAGCCGACCAATACAACCAATTTCAAAATTGCTGATGTCACTTTGGTACAAACATCTCCAGTTAACTCTCTCCAGTGCAACTTGCTCAAAGTTAGTATGAGGCTCATTGACAGCTGAGAGGTTGCTCTTTAGCTTGTCTTTATATCTAAGCCATAGTCATCTAACAGTCCTGTCAAGCTGCCTATACATAAAGGACCTTAGGTATTCCGTTATAACTCATCTTTGCAACATGACCAGAACAGCAGTTGTGATTGATTGCATCAGGAAGGTCTCATTTCCGCTAATGTTGCATTTTGCTAGATCAACCTCTCTCTCTCTCTATATATATATATATATATATATATATATATATATATATATATATATATATATATATATATATACACACACACACACACACACAATCTGTTGTTTTTATAGATACAATTAGTTAAGTAAATGCTCTGTTTATTATAAACAGTATTAATAACATTTACCGACTTGAATGTCGGAAATTTTGTAGAAAATATGTGTCCATTTGATACAATATAGATAGCGTATATCTTGGCAGCATCTTTTCATAAAGACATGTCTTATTGAATAATTTAGAGAAGTTTTGTCTACTTAATTTCAATAGGATCCTCTCATATTCACAGACAAGCTTCTTAGTATCTTTGTTAAAGAGAGAGAAAATTAACTTGTTGATACATATTCATTTATTCCTTTTGGCATTAGCATAATGTCATCATCAGCGTTTTTTTTTTTTTTTTTTTTTCTTTTAAGACAAAATTTTTGTAATTTGTTTTTTTAACTGTGAAGTGAAAAACTAGGTTTTTTTTTTAAACATAGACATTTCAAACTTAGTTACCTCCCCTGATGTTTACATTGTGAAATTTAAACAGCACAGTACATAACCTTAGCATTTTTCACTTCACAGTTAAAAAAAATTTAACTTTCAGATAAACCCAACAATCTTGTCTTAGAAAAAAATAAACACCCCGATGTTGACATTGTGCTAATGTCAAAAGCACTTGGAATAAATGAATATGAATTAACATGTTAATTTTCTTTCTTCCTTTAATAAGGATACTAAAGAGCTTGTCCATGAATATGAGAGGATCCTATTGAAAATAAGTAGGCAAAACTTGTCTAAATTATTCAATGAGACATGTTTTATATAGAGAAGTGTGTAGTCTAATATTATGAATACTATTCAGATGTTTTAAGGTTCTGACAAACCTGAATTGTTTTAATCTAGGCTACTGAAACTGCTTAGTTTTTGGGAAGTGTTATGAAATAATAACTGACTGTTCTAGCCAAAACTGGTTTAAGCCTTTTTAAACAGTGGTGACGTGTCTCTTGAAATAAAGCTGAGAAGTGGATGGCCATCAGTTGTTGATTATGATAATTTAAAATGCAAAGAAGAGGGAAACCTGACCACTAGAAGAAAAAGAAAATGCTTATGATACAACCAAAATAGTTTCAGATTAATTATTCTTTGTTGTGCTTTTTTGACCTCTGCAAAGTTTCAGTATTTTCTTCCTTTCATTTTTTTAAGGCTAAAATATTGGTCATGTTGTGAGAGGAAAACAACAGACTTCTCCTCTTTCCTCGATCAACCAGGCTGTGAAACTGGTAAACATGTGTGGAAAAAACAAGTGGTAAGTACAATGATAATAACTTTTTCTCTCTCTCTCTTTCTTTTTCTCTATTTCTTTCTTTCTCTCTCTTTCTCTTTCTCTCTCTCTCTCTCTAAATCTGAGAATTCAGCATATTTTTTCTTTTCTTTCTACTGTTTAGTAATATCTTTTAAAGTATTTTATAACTTTTGAAATATATTTTTTCTTAGAATTATCAACATTTAAAGGAACTCTAAAACAAACCTGGATGTAATATTATGATGTCATCAGGATGTGCAGGTAATATGTAATGGTTAGTGACTTGGAACAAGAAATTTGCAAACCAAGTTTAAATTCCAGTTGAGTCTGTTACACTCACTTTCACACAAATAGCCTTGAGAAAGGTAGGAATCCATCCCTTTCCCCAGCTATGGGTTAAATAGCAGAGCAGACGGGGTTAACTAGCCGTTTTTGGCAACCAGTCTGGATGAAGGAAAACATTAAATTCAAAACCTTGTTGCCCACAGCTGTATAAAGATGGGTAGACATAGAATGCAAATGCTACATCTGGAAAATAAAAGCATGATAGATTTCAACAACAATGGATGATCCCATTGGAAAGCCATTATCTAGAATGTTATTGATGTCAACAGGCATTGGGAACAAGGAAAGATGAAGGAAAAAAAAAATGTTTGACTGCTTTCATAAACTTTATAATGATAATATTGTCAAATCCCCAAATGAGGCTGATCTATTATTATTGTCTAACAGTGCAAGACAGCATCAGACAAAAACGGACCCATTGGAAGACCTTATATTCACTCTCAAGAATAGAAAGTTGAAACATTATGACACTATTAAGGTGGCAATGGTAAATTGGAGGGAAAAAAAGGCTTTCAAAATAAACTGGAAAACAAGAAAGAAAGTATAGTGATAAAAAGGAAAATGAAAGAAAAGGATATTTGTTTTCTTTTCTCTCCCCCACTCCAGGGTTGAGATGCCAACTAGCATAGAAGCTATCTGTTTATAGTCAACTTAATCTTAAGTGATGGTATTTTCTTAAGTGTCTGCTTGACCCTTTACGGAAGAATAGATTATATCTTAACAACCCAAAATGCTGATGACGATGGCCAGGGTGTTTTTTTAAGTGCCCTATCAACCTTGTGCAGAAGAATAGATTACATTTTAACAACTTTAAGTACCCATGATGGCTAGAAGCAGGACCCTAGCTGAAATTTAGTCAGTTGATAAGGACTTAGATTTTAAGACTGACATGTTTCCAACAGGAAATGGAATTGTTATAATGTTTATTTTTGTTCATCTGCCTAAGACGTGATAAAATTTATTAAACAAAGGAATTAGCTCTATTTGTTGCTCGTTGACCAAAGAATTGATGAGAGAAGGCAGCAGATGACAGAGCCCAGATGTAACCGACCACCGGGGACATGATAAGAATTCCTCACTGATGTAAATATTGGATGATAATTGAATTTAGCCGTTTGGGTTAGACCACACCTAGCCTCTGAGAACAGGTTTGATCAGGAGATGAAGATAGAGGTAGAGGCACAGGTAGAATTTCAAGGAAGATGGTGAGAGGCACCCACATGAGATGGAAAAAGTTGGGTGGATCGATACTCAGCCTCCACCACCCTTTGCGGGTTGGGATCTCCTCAAATTTGGTCTGGCAAACAATTTTCCAAGGCCAGACACCGAAAGGCTCTGTATAAATGTTGAGGTTTCCCTGGGAACCCCCAACCACCTCATGCCCCACACTGGATTTGCGCAAAGGTCAATAAATACAGTCAAGTGGAGTGAGGGACTGTACAGAGTATTAAGAGAAGACTCAGACAGTTTGGGGTTCCTGCTTGTGAGAGACCCACTTTGCCAAACCCCACACAACTTCTTCTGAAAGAACTTAGACTCTGGCCTTGTTCCAGGCTACCAATTACAATTGAATAATCAGCCCAAAGAAATGACAGTGGAAAAAATCAGGCTCCAGCTTTGTACCAGTTTACTGAGCGTGGCTAAACATAGTGCCACGGGGTATTAAGAGGAAAGGTGCTGAAAATCTGCATTTTGTTAATTTAGTGAGTAGAACATTCATTGTATAAACCTTTGATATAAAGTTGTTGGTTTACACAGCTGTCTCTTATTTTGTTCCTTGTGGTGTCATCTTACCAAAGCTGCCGGATCAGCGATGTTGGGTATATGACTCAGCAATGTGTGGCAGGGTGGGATTGAGGATTGGGGTGACCAACTCCAGGGCTGGCCGTAGGGATCAACCATGGACTTGCCCAGTGATTGTGGTGATGTCATAGACTAGAATGTCATTCATGGAGACATTGTAATGCCAGTGAGACATATGGAAGGAGCTGGTCAGGAGCTCAGTTGCACAAGTGACCCTATGACCACACCCATTAACGGGACTGTTGATGATTATTATTCTTGTCTGTGCTTCCATATTGTTACATTATAATTCATTGATTTTTCAAAGCTATCGTATTTCAATATTTTTTCTTCAATATTGAATTACATTTTTACAATTGAAAACAGTTACTTTGTATATTTTTATCCAATGATTGTATTTGCCAAAATTATAGGATGTCCTATTTTGTTTTTTTTTGTTTTTTCTTACGTCTGTTGGTTGCTTAATTTTGTCAGTCTTTATTGATATGGTATCTTGTCTTTATTTTCGTTTTCATCACAATATTTATTCTTTATTTCTGTTTTCATCATAATATATCCTTTGATCAGAATATCCGTTGATCATTTTTTATTAATCTAACAATATGGAGAATAATATACAAAAAATATTTAATATTAAAATTCATATTTTAACCAGTTTTAATTAATGTGCATCTAAATTTTCTTACATTCTTTTATGAAATATCTAGAATCTATTAAAAAAAAGGAAAAAAAAAAATTAAAAAATTATGAATTAACTACACATTTAATACAGATTTTATGTGATAAGTTTGTTTATTGAAATCTATCAAGGCTTTTGTTTCTCTCATTGTGAAGTTATTGATCTTCTTACAGGCCACAACAGCTAGCCAATGTCGCTATGATTGGCACCAAACGGGTACGATGGTCACAGTGACAATATACGCCAAAATGATGCTACCAGAAGAGTCCTTTATTGAAACCAACCAAGTGATTTGCAATATTTTTATAAAATACGACGGTGGCAAAAAGGCATTTAGCAAAAAAATTGTTTTAGGTGGGGTGAGTAATTATTAGTATTTTCAAAACATTTTTGATGATTTTGTTTTATATTCATAAATATGACATTGAGGTCAACGGCGAGTAGCGACAGTCCGTTTCATACTTGTACACAATCTTTCAGGCCTTTTATACTTGCACATGTTTGAGTCCTGATATTGAGCATTTTTACACATAGTATACCTAAAAAGTATATTTTTTATCATATATAATTTAGAGTACAAAGTAAGCAACTCCTATAGGAGTTTGCTACACAGGAACACTGGAGAGAAAAAAAAGTTCAATGCCATATTTCATAGTAGGGCCATAATATTTCTAAATCACTTCCCCATGAACAATGACCAACCACAACTAAAAGTTTCATGCATTTTCATGCAATCATCAGGTAGTCGACCACTGTTATTTGTGAAAATGAACATTTTATACCCTGCTGGCAAGGTCGAGGCATTACGAGAGTAGTTGTGTAAATATGATGCACAAATCACACTCACCAAGGGAGATGGAAATACCAAACAATCACCATTATTTGTCTGGGTGGGAATCCAGACATTGTGGTGGTGGGGAATTAAAGGTGTGCTTAAAAAGTGCTCAATACCCTGGGAAACAGCATAATGCTGAAGGCAAAATAGGGCTTAATTATGCCAGACCCTCAGTCCTCCAATATCAGATAATATGATTTTAAATAAAATACAAAGTATGCTACATGTCTAAGGAGCATGAAACTTTAGTAACGACTGGAGCTGTGTCTCATTGAGAGTTGACGTTGTTTTTGCTCTGTCTGGGTAACCTGGCTTGTTCATTGAGTACTGTTATTTATTGGTCAAGTAGGTGTTTGCCTTTTGGTCTTTCTTTCTTCTTTAATGTGTGTCCATTTATTTATTTATTTTTATTTTTTTTTTTTTTTTTTGAGATCTTTTGGCAGGTAGTCTGTTAATCTCACCAACATTTTGGATTTATGTGTGTGTGATATATATATATGAAAATTTCTCTGATTTAACCAGTAGAGAAGACAATATTTATGAATAGAAATGACAATAGGAAAACTGGTAATTGCTGACGCGTTTCGTCCAATGGACTTTATCAAAAGCAAAATACGAAAATGAAATTAATTGAACAAAGTCCACATTGGACGAATTGATGGAAAACGACTAATTACCAGTTTTCCTATTGTCATTTTTATTCATTATATATATATATATATATATATATATATGGTGCAGTTTAATTTATATCACAATGAATCATTCATGCAAAAAGTAAATTAGGAAAGAGTGAATGCATCTTAAAAAAATTAGTTACAAAGGGGTTTCACAATTTTATATCATTAACTTTACTTTGTCACATTGACTGATAAACCTCTACAAAAAAAAAAATTCTTCAATTGCCATATTAATAAAAAACACACTCACTTTACTTTTCAAAAATTCAACCTTAGTGTTGTGACTACACACTCCACAAGTTAAAAAAAAAAAATCATCTTGATTTGCTTTGTATTTTTTCATCTCGGATGCTACCTGAATTTTACCAAAAACAAAATAGTTTCCATGCCTGATGATAACCGGTAGAACCGTTGAAAGTATTTGTGTATTTAAGGAAGACTTAATACAGTTTATAATTTAAAAAAAACAAGGATCATAACATTCATCGAGTGATTAGTGGGTTAATGCATCTTTTAAAATTTAGTTAGTGAAGGGATTTCACCATTTTATATCATTAACTTTACTAATTTACTTTGTATGAATGATTCACTGTAATATATATCTATATATATATATATATATATATTTTTGATTTTGTTTGACTAAGAGTATAAGGTAAATGTAGGCTTAAAGATTTATCTGATAGTAAGAATAGCAAATAATTTTTTTTTTTATTCTTCTAGAAAGTACTAGTATAAGATAGATTTGAGTTGGGTACCTGTGTAGATTTACTTAGTTAGTATTGCTATGGGATTAGTATTTAAAATGTAAAACATTGGATTAAACTATGCAAGAAAGAGACCAGCTTAGATTGTTATGGATTCCAGAATTAGTAGACAGAAGCTAAACTGGATGAAGTAAGTAAAAAAAAAAAACAAAAAAAAAAACAACACTATATAGGAGGGGAGCATGACAAATCTTGTTTTTTCATATGTCTATAAGAACAGTCAAAATCCAATGTCGTGGTGTGTCCTGACTCAGGTCAAGGTTGCTGTTGGAGCTGATATGATGCAAAACCCGAAATCGGCAACGAGGACAGTGCATCACTGAAGACCACCCTTGATGCATCTGAAATGTATTATGTAACTATAAAAATAATGATAGAGCCTGTCTCTGATATTGAGCATTTTTACTGATAAATATAGCATATGTAAATATAAAAGTGGACACTCAGATCAACAGGAAGTGGTATTCATACTTGAACACAATCTTCAGGCCAAAGATTGAAGCTTGTGCTCAGGCACAAAACAGACTTACCACTCACTAGGTGTTGACCTCAGTGTTCACACACTTTTTAATTCATTAGTTTTGTCAGGAGGGGCTGTTTTTTCTATTTGGAATATTTTATTAATCCTTTTTTTTTTTTTTTTGTATTGATCATGTATACGTGTAGTTGCACCAACATAAATTTAATTTTTTAAGTCTTAAAGCATGAACTGCGTCACCCTAAAACTTCCCCCTCCCACACACTAATATATATATATATATATATTATATATATAAATGCAGCCTCCCCCAATCAAAAAGTCCTTCCAAACAAGCACAATCTTTTTCAGTTTAATAAAACAATGTTTCTGCTAGTAGCTGATCATTAGAAAATGTTGTGGTGGGGAGTTCTTAAGTGATGAAATGAATTAATAGCAGTTTTATTAATGGGTGGGGGGGTAGTCTTATGCATGTTGGGTGGGGATACCACAAGCCCTAGTTACAATTTTACATTGAAAATATTAAAAATACAGAGACACTCAGCTTTAAATTTAACTTCTAAACTTTGGCTGTTAAACATCTGGATACAGCACATCTATTTCCTATCACTTTCATTTTTCATTATCCCACATTGTGACAGCAGCAGTTTTTTTTTGTGAGGAAAAACTACAAATTCAGTTAAGTCAAGAGCACCGTTTCAACCTTCTTGCCCTTATGGAACCATTGAAATAGTTTTCATGTCTCGGGAACCCCTGCATAAAAGTTTTTATATACTATTATTAATATCTATTTTGTTTTGTGTTTTTAAATATTTTTATCGTAGTTCACATGGTAAAGATAATATATGGACACTGTACATGTGTCCTGTACTTGAATCCACCATGTACAGGTTCCGTCCACTAACCAGTGAAGGTGGATTCACACTGATGCTATATAGACCTTGCTAATTGCATTCTCTATGATTGGGATAGCTAGCAGACAAGCATAATTAGATATGAGTAACTAGTCATAAAAATATCATTGTGTGTTCGTTAAGTTTCAAATGAATGATCTGACTTGTTATATTGGATTTCATTTTCAAGATCTCTTATGAGTGTTATTTCACAACTTTAAATGATTCAATGAATAAGACTTGTCAGCTGAGATTAAGAGCATTTTTTTTTTTTTTTTTTTTTTTAGATCAGACAATATTTTTCATTTTTATTATTGCATTTATACTCCCCTCCAAAAACAAACAAAAAAAAAAAACTGCTAAAATTTTGAAAGAGCTTTCGCTCTGCTATTTTAACCATCAACATGTTTTATTTATTTTTTTTTCTTTGCAGGTGATTGACTGTAGTCAAAGTGAGGTTCGAATAACGTGCAACAAAGTGGAAATCAACCTTCGAAAGGCCGACTCATCTGCTTGGACAGCACTTGAATATTAAAGCCTACTGCTACAGGCTCAATGTCATGGTATTTTTGTTCAACAATAAAGCTCTTCTCCTGAGCCAAACCCTTTCACCCAGACTTTTCTTAGTCTCAAGCAACGCCATTTAGTGCATCTGCTAAGACTCATCTCTCATTTCATGCGCAGTGCAGCTTCTTTTTTTTTTTTTGTGTGTGTGTTGACTCTTGACACCTCCCACCCGCTTTTCTGAAGTAAGTTTTTATTCCCACAATCCTAGTCATTGAATTTTTGGAATTTGAATTTAATGTTAAATACTTTTGTCTTTTAGCAAGAATACTCAGGAAATTAAATTTTAAAAATTAGCCTTTACTCCTACTTAAGTCTGACATTTGTATAGAACGAACCAAATCTTGAAAACAATGGTGTGGCGGGGGGGGGGTATAAAATATTTGAGAATCTCTTGAAATTTTGTTTTTCACACTTTAGAGAAAGAATTTAAATAAACATATCCCTCTCTCTCTTTATAAAGTTCCACTCAGATGTTTTGTGTAATCCAAATAATTTTTTTTTTCCCCACCATCAATCTCTATCGTTTTGTAACTTGTAACATTGCTTTTAAGGAAAATTAATCTTTATCAGTAGAGTTTATTTTGAATTAGAATGGATTTGAAAAAAGAAAAAAAAAAAAAAGTTGATTTGTTGGTTTGTTTATTATTTCTTTTGAAGAAAGATGTTTCCTTTGATTTTACTTGACTAGGACTGCTACCACTTCACTCAGATATCGATTCAATTTCTAAAGAAATTGTTGTGTTAATAAACTGACAGAGTTTTTGAAAAGAAACAAATCTTAATGTTTGTCATTTTTATTAGTGTCTAAAAGCTTTATCCTTTCACAATATTAGGTTAATTTGAAAAAGAAAAACGTTGCCACCAATTTTTGTTTCACAGCAACTTGAATATCTCCTGGTTAATTTTCACACCTGATTAAAATTATTTTTGTTTAGTGATAATCATTGTGTAAATTCACAGGAATTACTACGAAACTGGTATTTATTTGTTGAACCTCACTGGCAATTTAGGTTGCAAAATATCTTGCTGGTAACTTAAAAACAGCAGCTGTGTGTTTGGCTGGATGATAGGAAACTAAAAGAAATTAAATAACATCTGACCTGACAAAGGTTGGAACTACTCAACAACCTTAAAATGACCACCTGCATATGGATAGAAAACGAGTTCAGTAGATATGCAAACAGAAAGAAGTGTAAGATAAGGATGTGTCTTCACACCAGATTTATTCAACCTATAAAATGAGGCAATTCTGAGAGAATTAGATCTAACAGGATTTGTTATTAACAACATAAGATAAACTACAAGTCAGAATGGATGGTGGTTAGCAAAATCTAATGAGTACAAAAATTTAAATATGTGAAAAGTGTTCTAACAAAAAGATGGAAAGTGTGACACTGAAATCCAAAGATGCATTCCAGAAGTTAAGCAGAATATGAAGAGACAAAAAAAAAAAAGAAAAGAGTCTTGAACTAACAGTTATGTCTGTCCTTAAATGGGAGAATAAACCTTTCTACCATAGCTCTCCTGTTATAATACCTACATATTAATGAAAGTTCTTTTAGAAGGTGGTAAAAGAAAAAGAAAGACTAATTATGAATACAAAGACATTTTATTTGTGACAAGATGAAAATGTGAAGTGATTTTGTTGATTTACTTTTGTGAAGAGAAGAAGAATGAAAACTGAAGAAAATGAAAGGTTTTCCGAAGCAGACGTTTCAACAACAATAACCACAAGCTATGAAGAAATGATTTCCTTATTATTGCACTTTCAATATTGTATAGACATTGTTCTTATAGACTGTTTTGAAGTAAGGTTCTGGATTCTCGTTCAGTAACAAACAAACAGGCATTTTGTGACGATTCTCTTTATCGCTAATATCCCAGATTTCTGGCATGGAACAACCAACACTGAAAAAGAAAAAAAAAAATGTTATTCTCATTTCGATGATTTATAGCTTTTGTTAGAATACAAATATTTTGTTCAGCACATTATAATTTTGCAAAATTTGAATTTAGGGATGAAACTTGACTTTTATAGTTAACGTTAATGTCATTAAACATTAATTTCTCCTTTCCCTTCTTTACTTACACAACCCAGAAAGTCATCTTTGCATTTTACAGTTCACTGCAGGTTAACTTTGACTTCCTATCAATCGAAATAATTACCAAAAGTGTTATAAACTGCAAAGAATTCTTGGATTTTTTTTTTAGTATGCTTTATGAATTCTCAAGAACAAAGAAAATGTATAAATTCATTTTCACATGTTTAGGTTTATTACAAGCTTGTTCATTTTAAAAAGCAATGATTAATGCCAAGGTGTGAATGTAGTTAAAATAATAGTCAAGGAAAAGATCATCCTTTTGACATTCCTTTTTTTTTTTTTTTCTGTTATCCCTATTATGCAAAAAAATGTTTTGCAGTTTCACTTCTAACTAAAGTGTAGTCTACTTACCGAGATCTCTTTCGACACCAGGAATCTTCTACAATTGCATAATTGACATACAGGTCCACCAGATTCTTCTTAACGTCTTCTAATGATTTACGACTGTACATGGAATACACTTTCATCGTACGTTTGCTGAGAAAAAAAAACAACAATGTGAAAATGGAATTGTTTTATATATTATCACACATTTTTTTATAATAAATAAATATGTATTTGAACAGCAATCCCTTTTTTTATACAAATTTCATTAAACACGACTGACAAGGTACTGCAATTAACCTTTATATTCAGTTTTTTGTGTATTTGTACAAGTATTTTCTGGATATTAAGCATATAAAAACTGCCCAAATATTTTATATATCTGAGCACTTTCAGTTATTCTGTTAGCCGTTGTCAAAGATATTGTTGTAAATTTTTAACTGAATATGTACATTCTTTATATACGTGTGACCCCCCCCCCAACACGGTTGGCATATTTTGGCCATGATAATGGCTAATAAAAGAATATATATATACTGAACAGTTTGTAAACACTCATTTCCAAGCAAAAAAAGAATTTCTGTAAATACTTTCATGGTAATTGCTTTGATGAGCTTTCCTCTATAGTACCTAGATATTATGAATTTAAGTGCAGTACTAGATTGGCAATTAGGTCTCATCATTTTATAGTTGAAATGGCTAAATGTAAGCATAAGTTCTATGCTGACAGTTTTTTTCTCTCTCACTTGTGGAAATCTCTTCCCACTTCTTGCTTTGATCTTTAATTTAAATGTAATGTCCATTATTTTCTATCTTAATTCCTGTTCTTTTACTGTTCTCTCACTCACTCTAACTTCTTAATGGCTATAAAGAAGTGAAATCATTATTAAAAAGAAAGAACTAAAATTATCACTTTGGTATTTGTTAATCTCACAATATAGATGCTGTCAGACAAAGATAGACTTCATTATGATCTGAAAGGTAACAATTAAAAAAAAAAAAAAATCACCCTTATTTGGAATAAGCTATTAAGAGGCTAACATGATAATTCCATTTCATTTAATATAATTGCAGTATTTAAGAGAAAATATGTCACTGAGAAAATAAAGCTTTTTGTTCTGACATTTTTGAAGATGATAACATGAAGCAGTGGTAAAAGAAAGTTTTCTTAGAATAAAGAAATAATTTATACAAAAAATTATGACAACTTAAATAATTTCAGTAATGGCTGTCTTCCAAAAAATTTTTCACGGTCTTAAATGTGACAACAACTACAGACACTGAATATCTTAGGATATCTATGGGCATGTAGGAGGAGAAAGTCATTTCTGGAAATGTGACCAGATTTGATGCAATATTAGACCCAACTTGATTTTCTTAAAAAAAATAAAAATAAAATTTATGAAAATAGCAGTAAAAAGGTGACTTGTCCTCATATTTATTACATTTCAGCTGTTGTACGCTCTGGTCTTCTTCAGGTGGTTGGAATGTCGAACTGAACCCTTTATTTTGCTCATTGGGGTAGACTGTTCTAGTTCCACGTGCCATGTTTAATGGATGTCAGTTATCTCCTGTTAATTTTTTTTACCAGTGCACATATTGCAATTTTTGCTGTTATCATTGTATGTGAAGGGGTTATCAGAAAATACAATGGATCTGTGGTCCATATAGCATCAGGACAACCTTCAAAAGCTGGACGACACATTGAAGATACCTCTCCCAAGTAAGACCCCCTCCCCCATAGAGGAAAACATGACTAAAGATATGTGTATGCTATCACATGCACCTGTGGAAAGAAATATAAAGGGGAGACAAGCCGCACCCTTAAGGTAAGGCTTCAAGAACACCAGAAAGCTGTAACACAAGGGGAAGTGGAAAAAATCAGGTGTGGCTGACCACATATGGAGAGAAAAGGGAGATCACTGTCCCCTGTGGGATCAGGTTGAGATCATAGACAAAGGACATCATTGGAAAATTTGTAAACTTAAGGCCACAAAAATCTTCTGAGCTGACTAAGCATAGAAATGAATACAATATGAGAACCAGCAATAAGGAGTGCCAGAGAAAAGCAATAACAACAAAAATTGCAATATGATGTACTGGTAAAAAAATGATTGCTGAAGATTTATAATACCCAGATGTCCTCAAGGACACATGACACAGTGGATAAAGGCGTTAGTTAGATCCAGTGACAGGACCCAAAGAGTGTGAGTTCAATACCTTGTTAAGGTGGTGGAGAACTTGGAGAGGGGAATAATGGATAACTGATATTAAACGTGGAACAGTGAGCAAAATAAAGGGTTCAGTTCGACATTTCAACCACCTGAGGATGAATGTTAATAGTGTACATAATACCTAATCTCAGAAATATAGACAGATAGTGCTTGGTCTCCAAAAGACATAATAGAAAAATATCTCAAATGTTTTCCTATTGACTACTTAAGCAAAAATCAGGAAGTAGCACTCAGGTTATGTTTAAGTCTCCATGTTCATGAACTTGGTGATTGTGAGTTCAATCCTGGGCTGGGCTGGGCAGTGAGTACTAAAAAACTAGATGATTTCCCTAGAAACTGAGAGGAGGCTACACCCATAGATTAAATAAAGGATTCAGTTCAGAATTACATGTCGGTTACCCAAATCTATATACACCTGACAAAGGACACTGAAAACAATAGTGTAAATAAAAATCAAGCGAATAACCCAATTTTGCCTGTTTTAATTAAAATGTTAATGACCAGACCAGTCCATTAGATAAATGGCTGGAAATGGGGTTAGAAAGGAAAAAGAAAATATATTGGGAGGTGGTGGAGGGTCAGATAAGCTCATAGAAATGCAACATACCGAAGGCCAGAATCCTCATAATGTGGATGATTAACAATTGGGCGTTTGGTGCAAAGTTTTACTGTAGCCATTGTTGGCATAGCACCAGCAAATACAGCATCTGCAAAAAGAGAGAAAGATCTGCATTTGAAGAGGCCAAGAATCTTCCACCAGAAACACATGAAACAAAAATTTTCAAAATATAAAAGAATCTTAAAATATTAACATGAAACCATTCCTTGTATAATTAACATGCTAAATATGGAAATTTGACCTAAAGAGAAGGAAAAAGAAAAAAATGAGAAATAAGAAAGATTATAAGCAACAAGTTATCCCCTTTTTAATGAAATAGATTAATATTTCTTTTAATTAAGATGTTAATTGAACATGTATATAAATGTGTAAAAGAGAAATGACTTACGTGGTTCTGTATTGTGTGTTATCCACTCAACAACCTGCTCAAGGGGGATGTTGCTGAACTCCCCAACGATATTCAGTTGATGAGAAATATTTTGGTATCCTTGGTAACCCATACCCGCTAAGTACAAAGCAAGCAGAGCAAAATGTCTTTCTTTGCTTCCAACCCAACCAAACAACTGAAAATTAAAAAAAAAAAGTTTAAATGAAAAAGAAAGATAGACAAGAATTTTGTTTGGACATTTTCGTTTCTTGAATCAAGTTTTCATTACAAGCCATTACTCAGATTTAGTCTGACCAGCTTTTCAAACTGACTGGCCGACATTTGGGCCGACCAGCTTTTCAAATTGGACAAGAAGACATAAACCAGATTGTATAATTCCTTTTTGTTTTTATATTACTCCATTCCACAGTTAAGAAATAAGAATTGGCCATTTGATAAAGGAATAAAACTTAGTATATAAACAATTCTATGGTGGTATGAAAGTTAAAGTATAGCTTGAAAAAGCAGAGACATGCTGGAAATTATTGCCAAAACTTTTTTTTTTCTTAATTTAATCACCTTGATTATTTATTTTTAGAGGACACAATGGCTGAAACTTTGTGATAAAAACTGCAAAGATGGGAATATTAGAATGTAAATAGAAAAAAAGTGACCTTGAACAAGGGGTGCAATTGTTTCAACCTTATCTAAGCCTAAAGGCTATCAAAATAACAATGTCCTCCTAATTTGCTGCACCGTTAGGGATGACTTTCTTTCTATGGCAAGTCGGCTCTCTACTGTTTCCTTTAGATCAGCAAATCTCTTCTCGCTGATCACATGATTTTACTTCACATTTACTAACTTCATTCAATAGTGTGTCATGTAATGTCATGTTGCACATTGCACAGACAACTGTCATACTGCTTTATCATAGAACTTTCCTTGGCTAAGCCATTCTACTGAATACATTACATCAATATTTGTTAAAACTATTGATTCAATTAAGAAAATTTTCTTTTTTTTTTTAAACTTCATCAACTGGACACAAAATGGTTGCTAAAATCCAAAATACACCTACCAACAGTAATTGTTTAAGTTTCAAGATGGATTTTTTTTTTTTTTAATCATTTCACCCCCAAGTAAGGTGGTAATGCCACTAGTACACAAGGGGTTTCAGAGAGTGAAAGTGAAAAAGAAGACTGAGAATAGAGAGGACTGAGGAAAGGACATAATGTTCTGGGGAGGCTTTATAAAGTACAGGCTCTCGAGAAAGCAGTTGAGCAACATGCTCCATACGTTTTCTATGGGGTTGAGGTCAGGAGATTGTGGCGCCAATGTCATAACACTCACCTGCTTCTCATCAAAGTATTCCTTCATCCATTTTTGATTTGTGACAGGGAGCATTATCCTGCATAAAAATGAGCTTGGTGGGGTCAATTTGCACCCTTTCAACAGAAGGGAGCAGACAAGACTAAAATTCTCTTGTACTGCTCGCTCCCGAGAGTATTTTCAACCAGTTCCATGAAAAGAAAAGCATCCCCAGAACATTATACTGAACGGATGCTTGACAGTACTTACTGCTAAATTCAAAGAGCTTTCAAAGCTTTCTCTTCGGATTTTAGATCGCTTATCCTTTGAATTTAGCTCAACTTTCGTTTCATTGGAGAAGAGAACATTTAGTAGAAAAAAATCAGGTGAGTCACTTTTATCGAACAGCACTATATGTGTATGTGTGTGTATATATATATATATATATATATACACACACACACACACATACATACATACACACACAGTGAACCAAATGTAGGTGAACAGTAGGTTGAATAGAGTGTGTTAGTGTGACAACTATAAGAGTAGTCCGTGAGTATATTGATGAAACATTTCCTGAGAAATGGATTGGCCAAAGTGTTGCTGATTTGAAGAATTACATCAGAGATGCATTTCAAGAAATTAATACCCAAAGATCCTTATGCAAAAATGTTTGTCTAAGCGTGGAAAGTCGACGTCAAAGCTGTGTAAATTGTGATGGAAAGCAGTTTGAGAACCTGCATTGATAAGATTTTCAATACTTTTTTTTTGTATATAATAAAATTGAATTGTATATGTAATGTATGAATAAGTAATCTCAAAATAAATACTATCATTTACTGGTCCACCTACTTTTGGTTCATTCTGTATAATATTTTTATGAGGGGGGGGGGGGGCACATTTAAAAAATTTTTTTTTTTTTTACCTGTCTGTAAGCAAGTAGAGAAGTAATGAGGCATAGGTGAGGAGTCCAGAATAGTTTCAGTCTCATAATCATCACAGCCATCAGGGTGAAGCAGAAAAGTTGGAAAATATGGAAGACCAACTGAAAGACAAAGAGAAAAAAAAGAGGACTTTATTTGATTGAAGATAAAGAGTAAATAACTTCAGGTATATATGACATTCAAAATATTTTCCATATTTAAGAAGTCATTGCAGCACTTGTGTTAGAAGTATTATAAAAGTAGCATTTATAAAAGTAAATTTCAAATTTATTGGTAATTTTTTAACATTTCCTCAACAACTGTCTTTGTAAGTAAGACTGTAAAGCCAAAGTACCTAAAAAACTAATAAAATATTAGAATTCTTAAAATATCTTAAATTTTATAATTACTGAGTAATTAAAAAAATAATTCTCCCTCTTACCTAAATCTCACAATCATCAGGGTATAGATAAATGTGTTAACACTTCATAAAAACATCTACCTTCATGTTAAAATAATGCTTTTCTACGATATTTTAAACTGAAAGTAAATAATATTTGCTTGCATTTAGATTTATTAAACTTTAAATCAATTAACATTCCTCAAGTAAAGTTTCAGAAAAGTATATTTTACTTTTGAAAGATTTTAGTAAAAAGAATTATGTTATGTTGACATATTTGTTAATATGGCTGATCTTAGCTGTTTCAAAAAAAAAAAATAAATAAATAAATAAATAAATAAAGAAAATCATTCCAATCAATTTAAATTCAGTTTGAAATACAGCCAAGTATTTTGCTTATTGGAAATATTAAATTTAATCTATTAACTTGGAATTAGAACTAAAATAAAAGCTTCAAGAAAGATTTTTCATTTTTAAAATACCTTAGGTATCACTTTTTTTTTTTTAGAGGTACATTGTTTTCAGTAAGAAACTAAGAGATCAGTAATGTTGTGGAGTAGCTGAACACCCCCACAAGATAGACTGGTCTAAGACTGTTTAAACAGCACTTTCTTACTGAGGGAAGGGAGTCAAGGATTAATTGTTACTCTGCTTGTTGACTCTCTACCTTCAGGCATAGAGAAACTCAGACAAGGCTATACCTACAGGCAGTCTCATCTGGGGAGGTAGACAGCCACCCGACCCCATGTATGTTGGGTCTACGTGGAATTTTTGCCTGAGTATATTCACTCAGAAAGCCCCATGTTAAAAACCCACTTTGTGCCACATCTTGCCTTATGGAGAGGTCTTGGATAAATAGTGAGGAGTTAACAATTAACTGTTTATTGCATTAGTTTGTACCATATTATTCTTCGGAATTAACTACTACCTATTTATAATACAACACTTATCAAAAACCTTATCTAATAAATAAATAGAATAAAAAAAACATCTGAATGTAAACAGAGAGGGGAGGGGGATTCGATGTCAAGAATTAAAAAAAAAAAAGCTAGAAAACAACTGATACATAATTGTTATTAATTTAATATAAATTCTGTTGTCTCCAATCAAAGTAAAAATGAAGGCAAAACTAAACTATACTTATTATTGGTAATTATTTTGTTTGAAACATTTGGGTCTTGTTGTGGTGTCAGAACAATCTGATTGAAGCTTATTAACAAAAGAATTCACAAATACTTTTAAAGAATGAACTGGATGCTAAGTTCTAAACAATCCTATAAATAAAATTATGAAATAATGACTTTTCTTATAAAAGTCGTCGGTAAATACTAAAAGAAAATTCATTTTCACTCACTTCAGCGTGTGGTTTATTTCTGTCTGCTCTGAAAGGCAAAGAAAAAAAATAATGTTAAAACACCTAGAAATAGCAAATCAATTTTCCTGGAGGTTGGTGGGGGGGGATGGTAATTGGAAACATTAAGATATGGGTAGGGGTCTGATTTGTGAATGTATGGAGAATGAGGAATCAAAAGACATAGAAGCATTTTTTTTTAATCATTTCACCCCAAGCAAGGCAATAAAGCCACTAAGACGCAAGAGGTTACTGTGAGTGAAAAAAAGAAAAAAAAGTTAGTGAGGAGGAAGGATAAAAAAAAAAAAAAAAAAAAAAAAAAAAAAAACAGGATTAAAAAAACAAAACAAATGATTGACATTGCATTTAGATTTTTGAACATCACAGTTGACAGGAAAGCAAAAAGCCAGAAGAGAGTTCCACAAGCAAGAAGTGCGATAGAAGAAACTGTTAGCATAGAACTTACAGTTACATCTAGACATTTCAACTGTAAAATGATGAGACCTAGTTGCCAATCTAGCACTATACTTAAATTCATGACGTCTATGTTACTAAGAAGGAAAGCTCATTAGAACAATTGCCATGAAAATATTCGTAGAAAAAGCAAAGACAGGGAAGTTAATGTTATAGTGGTAGGAAGGTAACTGAAGCCCAAATCCTCGTTCAGGACCAAATAACATCATCCAGTCTTCCCTCTCACATTTATGTACTAGTTTCAATTTTAATAAAAATGACTAAAAAAACAAACAAAAAAAAAAAACACTTCCACTGTCCTTATAGTACTAATTTCATATTATAAGTGCACCATGGATTTTCAGGCATCTGATGGTCCAGCACCTTTTTAATCCAGACTAAATTACACATAAGCATTTGAATTTCATAGGAGTGCCACACTAATTCAATCGTTAAGTCACATTTAATAATAGTTTAATATAAATTTCTAACAGTCAATGATGCTGCAGAGAGACAAGAGATGCAGGATTAGGAGGCAAGAAGTGGGTTATGGGATTGCTATCATGTGACTTCTGTTACTCTGCACTTACGTGAAAATATCCTTGGGAAAGGTATGAAAACATCTTTTCTCCCCAGCTGTCGGCTAAGTAATAGGACTTGTATCTGGGGAAAAATCATTGTTATATCCCAGGAACTTGTTAATGCAATATTCACACACACAGATAGAGAAAGAAAAAGAGAAGAGAAGAGGAGAGAAAGAAAGAAGAGAAGAGAAGAGGAGAGAAAGAAAGAAGAGAAGAGAAGAGAGAAAGAAAGAAGAGAAGAGAAGAGGAGAGAAAGAAAGAAGAGAAGAGAAGAGGAGAGAAAGAAAGAAGAGAAGAGAAGAGGAGAGAAAGAAAGAAGAGAAGAGAAGAAAGAAAGAGAGAAGAAGAGGAAAGAAAAGAGAGAAGAGAGAAAGAAAGAAAAGAGAAGAGAAGAAGAGAAAGAAAGAAGAGAAGAGAAGAAAGAAAGAAAGAAGAGAAGAGAGGGAGAGAAGAGAAGAGAAAGGGAGAGAAGAAAAAAGAGAGAGGGAGAGAAGAGAAGAGAGGGAGAGAAGAGAAGAGAGGGAGAAAGAAGGGAGAGAAAGAAGAGAAGAGAGGAGAGAAGAGAAGAGAGGGAGAGAAAGAAAGAGGGAGAAGAGGAGAGAAGAGAGAGAAGAGAAGAGAGGGAGAGAAGAGAAGAAGGGAGAGAAGAAGAGAGGAGAGAAGAGAAGAGGGAGAGAAGAGAAGAGAGGAGAGAGGAGAGGAAGAGAGAGGAGAGAAAGAAGAGAGGAGAGGAGAGAAGAGAGGGAGAGAAGGGAGAGGAGAAGAGAGAGGGAGAGAAGGGAGAGAAGAGAAGAGGGAGAGAAAGAAGAGAAGAGAAGAAGAGAGAGAAGAAGAGAAGAGAAGAGAGGGAGAGAAAAGAAGAGAAGAGAAGAGGGGGAGAGAAAAGAAGAAAGAAGAGAAGAGAGGAGAGAAAGAAGAAGAGAAGAGAGGGAGAGAAAGAAGAGAAGAGAGAAGAGGGAAGAGAAAGAGAGAAGAGAGGGAGAGAAAGAAGAGAAGAGAGAAGAGAGGGAGAGAAAGAAGAGAAGAGAGAAGAGAGGGAGAGAAAGAAGAGAAGAGAGAAGAGAGGGAGAGAAAGAAGAGAAGAGAGAAGGAGGGAGAGAAAGAGAAGAGAGAAGGAGGGAGGGGAGAGAAGAGAGAAAAAGGAGAGAAAAGAGAAGAGAAAGAGAGAAAAAGAAAGAAAAGAAAGAAAGAAAAGGAAAAGAGAAAAGGAAAAGAGAGAAAAAGAGAAAGAGAAAGAAAAAGGAGAAAGAGAAAGAAAAAGGAGAAAGAGAAAGAAAAAGAAAAAAATTATTCTTATCATCCAAAGATTTGGTTTTAAATAACCCACAAGTGGTTGATAAGCTGTTAAAAAAAAAAAAAAAAAAAAAAAAACAAATCTGTTGGTTTGACAAAATAGAAAATCCAACATTTCTGGAAGCAAAGAAGCCTGAAAATCAGTGCCGAACTTGTACTAAATGTAAGAACAATTCTGAGACAAAAGACAGTAACAGTTTTCTCATTATATAAAAGGAGTTCGATTCTTTACTGATGTCCTCAAGAAAAAGGATTTATACATAAAAGATCCAATTATTGAGATTTAAGTTTTTAGACATATGCTCAGAGAATTCCATTGAATGTGTGCAACAAGCAAATTTTAAATAAGCCGCCACGCCCTAAAAATTCTGCTGGTTACCCAAAATGGGCACTTCTACAAATTTATGGTGATTTTCTAAGCATAACTTAGATGTGGCACAAGGCCGAAATTATGGGGCACCCAGTGAGGACCGAACTTGCGATTCAGTCATAAGTGATCTAGTGAGACAAGCTAGCTAATCATTACATCGCATCAAAGTGCCTGCCTTTTGAACAGGAGTAGGGGTTTATTGCTCTATTTCCTGTTTAGAATTGGGTTTCAAGTTCCTTCTAAAATCTGCTTCAGATCTGTACTCCTAACACTTTTCCTTTCCTACACTAATATAAATCCACACAGTAACACTACCTTGAGTGGCTCTTGGGCCTTGAATTGGGTGATCATTAGTAAAAAAAAAAAACAAAAAAAAAAAAAACTTTGGTTACTTTTTATAAATATCTTTGTCTATTTCTGTATTCAGTTCGATAAATAAACCAACACCCCAACATATATTTCATAGCTAATGTTTTTGGCAATATAGATTTGATATCAAAATGTTCATACAATCAAACAACAGGGCAAGAAAATCAAAATGGAGGTAAAATATGAAGTTGTATTGAAAAGTTTCTCGACTGAGAGGATTGAAGGTTTCAATAGTAATGTGCATCTAACACTCATTGGCAGCCAGTCTACTATGCAAGCTACTAATGCTGCAAAAATTTGGCCTAATTTTGGAAAGTTGGTGCCACTTCATACAAGTTTACTTGAAAATTCAGTAGATTGTCAAATGATTTAAGTTGAGAGCTTAACAGTCAACATTACTTACTTAACTAAAGGTTCTTGAATGTGTTTCTCCTCTTTACCTTTGGCTGACTTTTTCCTTTTCCATGATGACAATTCTTGATAGCCAACCTGTTGGACAGAAATAATAATAAAAAAAGAAATGAGAAAGAAAGACCGTGTGCGCATGTGTTAACAAATGTGTGTGTGTGTATATATTTTGTTACGAGGATGCATTTCTATAATAAGGGATTCTACCGAGTCCTACTTATTAATACAAAAATGTTTTCATTCATGAAGTAGTTGTAAAATAGACAAATTAGAAATAGAACGTTTGGAAGATTCTAGATCTTTCTAGTATATTCGAGAAAAATCTACATGATTCGAGAAACATCTAGAAATATGCTAAGTAGGTGCTAGCCCCTATAAAAATAGTTTTTTGGAAAAGGGTTGTCAGTTGGTGAATGGAAATTTCTGCCAATATCAACTCCGGCTTTTTAATTCAAGGATTATTGTGGCCAAGCGCTTGAGCATGCTGGCCTTGTTCAAATTGTTTATCACGCTAGATAATACACTCTCCCAGAAACTGTGACTAAGGGTTGCCTAACATAGTTGCAGTATAAACCACAGGTGGGCTCTGTGGCTGTTGAGTAAACACAAATGCACCAGAGCAAGCATCTGCAATAGGGATTGACTAGCCACCCTAATAGATGGGTATCCTTGAATATGAGTGACCAGATATATATATATATAAAATTCTCCTAAAACTCCTAAAATTCTCTCTGTTAAGGTTTAATCTCCCTCTTTCTCTAGTCTGTTAACCCCCTCTTTAGCTCTAACATTCGTCCCACACTCTCATACTTACACTCTCTCTAAATTCTGTTTTTATTTACATTGTTTTTTTTTCTGTTTTCTTTTTGAATTTGTAGGTCTGATGAATTGGATCGTATTTTGATTCCAATGGAATAAATTATGATCATGGAATATTAGTGTTTAAGCCTTTTATTATATATATTATATATATATATATATATATATATATATATATATATATATATATATATAAACAGTGGTGACTCTAGGTTATCAATGTTTGTCATCAGACTTATTACTATCGTTAACATATACTATTGGTATAACTTAAATGCTAAAATGATTACTTTATTCTAACTAAAATATATAACTTTTAAAAATCTGTACATGAAATTAAAAAATAAATAAAAAATAAAACAAAACACATTTTGGTATTTTAATATTAATTGTAAAAATTCTATAAAAATAAAGATTTAAATTAAATTTTTCCAGACATGTAAGAAAAAAGATTGATGACAAGGTATTTGATATGTTTGTCTGTTTATTGCCCGCTTTCCATTTTTTTATAGCCTGGTTATCAAGTCACTGATGGTAGAGTGTATGTTTGTGTATATGTCTATGCGTTAGTGTGTTTATGTATCTCTCTGTGAATTTTTAGTTTAATTTATTGTATGGTTATGATCAGTACTGCCAACTGATATCATATTTCCTCAACACTATTCCAGTCACACTTCAACCCTCCAGTCAATGAGTTGATTGCCACTTTGATTTTTGCCAATTTAATTTACCTTTTATCAAAAGATACATTCTGCTAAAAAAACTTATACTGTATGGAATAAATTATTTAAAATGGACATTTGAAAACAATAAATTGAAACAAAAATGTGTTTTTTGAAAAACAGAGCATAAAAGTCAGTAGAGATTTTTCAAAGATTATTTATAAATTTAAAGCAAGAAATACATTGCCTATTAAGTATGTCACCAGCTTCAATCTATGCAGCCTGACTAGCCACATTAATTTTATTTCATTCTTTATTACTTTGTTTTTTTCCTTTATTTCTTCTTTATTATGAACAATATCAATGAATTGTATTTCGGTCAATATTTTGAGGCATGGTGTTAAAACAATTTTGGATCCAGAATGAAAACAAAAGATTTTTGTTGCTTTGAAATATATATATATACTTGAACGTTGATTTACTCAGGGTGAGCCCGACAAGCCTGACCCCCAGAGTCGCCATTGATATATATATATTTTATAATTGGACCCCAATAATTATTTTAAGTTTGATTACCAAGGTTCCTTCTTCCAGACAGCATCTCCATTATTCGATAAAGACTTACAACCTTGAACTGATTTTTACCATTGTGGGATGGCAAATAAATAAACAGTCTTCTAATGTCATTTCAACTGGTAGTGCTAATAAAAACATTGGTACCATTATGTCAGGTGCTCAAATATCCAAGATTTGAGAGAATATGCTAAAAGACAGTAATGACATTAATGTTTTTGTTTCTTACCAAACAAATAGTGCCAAGCACAGCCACTAATGCTCCAGGAGCCAACAATGTCTTTGCCACACGCATTGGAGTCTGTGGGAGAAAAGAAACAAAAAAAAAAAAAAAAAGCTATAACAAAACAAAATATTTAAATTCAACAACTTTTCTCAATAGAATGACTTTTGAAAAGAACCCAGCATCACTAAAGTTTGAATTTTGATACTTGTATCTTCTTTGGATTGCCTTTTTGAAAATAAGCTGGGCTAAGATGAAAGTCAATTAGATACGGGCTGGGCTCTCAAATGTTACCCCATTTTTATATTTGTTATCTCAATTTGGCAACTTCAATATTCAGCTACATTATGAGAGGACATACGATAAGTTCCTTGGCCTGATCTAGAATAAAAAGTAAGAATTAATTTAAAAAAAAAAAAAAAAAAAAAAAAAAAAAAAAAAAAAAGAAAAAAAAAAAAAAAGTCGTTTGGTTAGATTTCGGGAGTTGGGCTTTGAAGGTCCATGACCTGAGAACCATTGAGGAAGTGCAATGGTTCGATCTCGAGTCTCATGAGTAGCATCACTGGAGGGACTGGTCAGCCAAGAATCCTCTTTACCAAGTTCACTGGCTCAGTCATCTGTCAATTCGACATGACAGCTGCAAGCTGGCAATGACCTTGTGACAAACCATGTTGCTGCTGGAAGGATGTTGTCTGCCAGGGCATCCAGGTAGATTAAGATTGGAGGATGGATGTTCTGATACTTTGCCAAGTCTGTGAGTGTCGGAGGGTCAAAAGGTGGCTCTCGTGGGCTTGAATGCTTTAATGGCAGGAGATTTAGCAGCTGCAGTTAGACAATAACTTTTCAGCAGCCCCATTGCTTTTATACTTTCTTTACTTTTTATAAGGAGATGAATAAAAGCATGAAAATTTGCTGATTTCAACTTTGTCTAATAGAGTCTTTTTTTTTCTTTTTTTTAGCAAGATTTAAAGAAAAAAAAAAAAAAGAAAAAGAAAACTCTCTTCCTTTAACCCTGTCAAGCTTCAGTTTGCTGTAGTATTCCGACTGATTTTTCCCATCTTCCAATGTGAAAAACATTTAGAATCTATTTCAGTTAACCCATTGCCTATCCTGTGTATCATGTGATGCCCAGGACACATGATTTCCATGTTCGAGCATCACATGTGATGCCCAGGACACGTGATTTCTACGTCCGAGCATATGTGATGCCCAGGACACGTGATTTCCGTCCGAAGCAGCATATGTGATGCCCAGGACCGTGATTTCCGTCCGAGCATATGTGATGCCCAGGACACGTGATTTCCACGTCCGAGCATATGTGATGCCCAGGACACGTGATTTCCACGTCCGAGCATATGTGATGCCCAGGACACGTGATTTCCACGTCCGAGCATATGTGATGCCCAGGACACGTGATTTCCGTCGTCGATATTTGTGATAGTGATTTGCCCAGCATATGTGATGCCCAGGATACGTGATTTCCGCGTCCGAGCATATGTGATACCCAGGACACGTGATTTCCACGTCTGAGCATATGTGATGCCCAGGACCGTGATTTCGTCCGAGCATATGTGATGCCCAGGACACGTGATTTCCACGTCTGAGCATATGTGATGCCCAGAACACGTGATTTCCACGTCCGTGCATCATATGTCAAGCATCATATATGATGCCCTGGGCATGTGATTTCCATGTCTGAGCATCATATGTGATGCCCAGGACATGTGATTTCTACATCTGAGCATCATATGCGGTGCACAAGAGCCATGATTTTAAAAGAGTGATAAAACTAAGGATGTTTAAGAAAAGAGTCTACTATTGAGCAGGACGCCTGAGGCAAGGCCTAATATATCCCTACAGGATGCTTGACTGATAATGTAAGGTCTCACATGAAAAGCATCTATTTTTCGACTTCATTGAAATCATTATAAGCTTTGCATCACGTGATGCACAAACCAGAGTGTAAATAACTTATGATTTGTACATTTTGTGCATCACATGTGATGCACAGGTTTTTATTATGTGAAACATTATATATCAGCAAATTCTATTTGCCAAATAAGCTGAGTTGCCTTGCAATAGTTATAAATCTGAAAACAAGCATAAACATTTGGATAGTTCACATGAAAATATCCTGGACATTCATACATTTCAAGAGATGCAGGTTTTCAAGTTCATGCCTCAACCCACCTCCATTGTTTAAAAAGAAAATTAAATTTTCTAATGTCAATATTTCTATTTTTAAATGCCATTAAATAAAAAGCAATGCATTTGAAAAATTTTTGTTACGAATAATTTGTTTTTATTTAAACAGCAAGCAAGACTTAGAATTTTTACGATTATATATTACAACCAAGCAAGCAAGAAATTGATACCAGTTACATGAAAACCAGTGTTTTTAATAGTTTATAATTCTTATACTGGGAGAAAAATGCAAAAATAAAAAAAAAAAAGAGAGGAAGAAATTACCTCAGCTTCCATGAAGTCAAATTCGGCAGCACAAGTGTATAGCTGTGTATGGAAATTTTTAAAATCTGTAAATTTTGTCCGGAGAATATCCCCAATATGTGCCTGGAAAACGAAATGACGAAAAGAAATTCATGATTTGAATGAAATTTTGAGACGAATTATAAAATATCCAATAGTTTTCTTGAAGTTTCGTTCATTCATTTTCTCCCCTGCAATGTTTGAGACAGCCTTCTCCAGTTGAAGGTTTACACAAAGTAAAGTTTTGCTACTAGCCTTATTTTTGGCTTGCCACCTAATCAATTGGTCATGCAAATGGAATATATTGTTTTTTTTTTAAATTGGTATCACCTCATTCAAGGCAGTAAAGTCACTAAGATACAAGAGGTTACTGAGTGTAGAAGAATTAGGAACAGAAAAATCAATAATGAGCAGAAAGAGAAAAGGAGGACAGTAGATAGCTATTAACAATGCATTTAAATTTTTGCAGATTAAGTTGGTTGGAAAGCATAGAGCCGGAAGGGAGTTCCACAAGTGAGAAGAGTGAGAGAAGAAACTGTTAGCATAGAATTTATGGTTACATCTAACCAGCTAAACTCTAAATTAGTGAGATCTCTATGCCAGTCTAGTACTGCACTGAAATTCAAAAACTTTAGGTACCATAGTGAAGAGTTCATCCAAACAATTACCATGAAAATATTTATAGAAAAGGCACTAAGAGACAACCTTATGGTGGTGAGCATATGACAGAAGCCAAGCTGCCAGATCAGTATCAATAATATTGCTGATTCTTCTTTGGATTTTATCAAGGAGCTCAAGGTAAATAGCAGGGTCACCGAGCCATATGTGGCAGCAATATTCTATGCATGGACAAAAGGTAGACTTATAGATATGCAAGATAAATTTTGGAGATAAATATTGTTTCACACGACACAGTGAACCAACTTTCTTAGCAGGTGACCTAGCAATAGATTCAATATAGTCTTACCTCTTCATATCAGCTGAGAACATTAGCCCAAAATGACACAATAAGTCACTTTCTTGGAGGTTAGCATCAGCCATGCTGATGGAAAGCAGAGAGGGTCTCTTAGAAAATTAATGAAGAGAAGTTTAGTTTTGGAGGCGTTAAAATTAACAAGCCATCTTTTGCTCCAGTTAACGACAGACTTGAGGTTGTTTTGGACAATGGCTGCCATATTTACCTGATCAGCCTTACTATCGAGGCAGGACTAAATGGCTATGTCATCAGCATAGATAACATGCTGGGAACTGATGTCATCGGACAGGTCATTAATGAAAATTAAAAATTGAGTAGGACCAATGATGGAGCCCTGGGTGTGGGGGGGGGGGCACCTGTGTTAGTACAAAAGGATCTAGGCAAGTGGCTGTCCAGGATATCTTATATTAAATTCTCAGACCAGAAACATGACTGTCTACAGAACATTACAGAATCGACCATTACAAACACTGGCAATAAAACACTAAAGATCAATTAAGCAAAAAACAAAGAATGTATATTAAAAATTACGCATCTTGAAAATGAAATAGAAAACTATCAAAAAGTGGTATGAACCAACCATAATAACCAAATATCAAAACCATCTGACACTGAATATAAAGGCTTTTAAAATGCACTACTAATGGGCTTTAGATTCCTATATTCATAGGGGATATAGGAATTGTGTTACTGTCATCTAGTGGTCTTGAGTTCAATCTCTGGCAGTGAAACACTGGCATCACAGAGACAAAAACAACACAATAATCAGCAGATATCCAATATCAGCCAAAACAAAGGATACCTGATAATGACCAGAGGATACTTGCCTGAAACATGTCTATCATAACATCTATAACAAAAATAGTTCAAAATAATTAAAAATTAAAATCAATGAATTCCCAAAGTTTTTCTTTCTTTAAAGAAATATGAAAAAGTTACTTAATATTTGAAAAATGTATAACAATTTACTAAGCAATACTTAAATGTGGCACAAGGCCAAAAGTATGGAGCATGTAGTGAGGACTGAACTCACTTTTAAGTCATAATTGATCTAGTATGACCAGCTTGCTAACTATTTGTTCCCAATTCATTTAATGTATGTGCTGTGTGAACATAAAATGATGGCTCAATTCTTGATTATGGCATTTATTCCTCTGCCCACTCAAACAGAGTATGGTACAAGGCTGAGTTCACAATAATTGCTCAAGATAAGCATTTCCAACTTTGGTGATTCTTCAGGTGAAGACCTTAGTGAGAGAAGGAACAAAAACAAGAAACAAAAAAAACAAAAAAAAACAAAACAAAAGAAACAACAACAACAAAAAGAAACAAAGAACAAAGTAAAAGAAGAAAAGAGAAAAAGAAGAAAAGAGAAAAAAGTAAAAGAAAAGGAAAGAGTATTGGTTGGAAGAATGGTCTTCTGGAGCCTGAGCCCACTATATCACCCAGCTCAGAATCCACTTATAAATAGACCCCCTCCTTTTTTTTTTTTTTTTTCATAGTGACATTAAGTGTAGAATTAAGTAGACTTCTTTGTATTAAACTCCATTTGTTTGCCCTTCTAAAATTAAAATGGGATAAAAATATCCGACTCATAAAGTTTGTTTAATCTCCAACGTTTTAATATCTCAAGATTTAGTCACATCAGCTTCAGAATATTAAACCAATTTGTAACTGACTTGACTGATATATTACATAAAATTAATAATAATTGGTGAATGTTTGGGGAAATTGATATATTTCAGATATTCAGGCAGCATTTCCATGACATTGTGAAGCTATTTGTTATGCAACAATCACCATATATGCCAATAGACACAGAAAATATAGTAGCATCATTTCTACATGACATCAATAGAAATGAAAGAAAATATTTAAATATATTGAAAGGTTTACAAGAAATAATTTCACTTAAGATTATTGGATTTTCATTAACACTATTGCAAAATGGATGTGAGTTGCCTCATCTTGAATTTGAAATGTACTCTATGTCAATTTCATTATCTGTGCTGTTGGGTCAAATGCATCTTTTTCACTCTCATAAATGTGCTCCAATATGCATGTGTACTTACATCGTCAGCAATTTTCAACATCTTTCCAATCAAGATTTTCAATCCAACAGTTCCTGAGAGTAAAAAACTTCCTTGGACAGCCTTGAAACACAAAGAAGAAATAAATTTCAGTATATTGTTTTATATATATATATATATATATATATATATATATATATATATATATATATATATATATAAATAAAACAAAAAAACAAACAAAAAAATACAAAAAAATACAAAAAACAAACAAAAAATGCCAAAAACAAACAAAAATAAAATAAAACAAAACTCAACTAAAAATTTTAGTACATAAAAACAACACTAAACTTTTAGCATAAAAAAAAGAAACCACTCAATTTACAATAGTTGTTAACAGCGTTGTGTATCAAAAGAATTTTTTATTTGGGTGGGGGCAATAAACCTTATCACTAATACTAAGCGAATTTTAACATTTTGTATTTGATTAAAAGTTAAAACCCATTAATTTTTTTTAGAGATTGTTTTGTTTATATTTGGGATACAAAACTGAGAAGGGATGACTATTGAGAAAATCTGAATGGGTGAATGTGCTTTAAGGCAGCTAGCATCTTGCCTGACTGTGAAGCTCTATGTAGCCGAACTGTCAGACAGTGGTTAATCTTGTAATGTGGGTGATGTAGGTTCAAATTCTGCAGACAGGCACATTTTCTTTATTCTCTTTTCTTTTCTCATGTGCGTAAAAAGACAAACTACAAAGGACAGGAAATTGTGGAGAGCCATGATCACTAATGTCCTGAAAGAACTCAATTGGCAGTTAGGTCTCATCATTTCACTATTGAAATTGCTAGATGTAACCAAGAGTTTTAGGTTTCCTTCATTTGACCTCATGTGTGAAACTCTTCTAGCTTATGGCTTTCCTGTCAATTATGATCTTCAAAAATTTTAAAATGGAATGTTATTTGCCATCTTCTCTCTCTTTCAATCCTGTTCTTTTATTGTTCTTTCTACTCAAAAACACTTTTTCAGTTTCTCTCATTCTCAATAACCCATTATGCCTTAGTGGCTTTATTGCCTTACTTGGCATGAAATGATAAAAAATTGTTTATATTTCTGAGATGAGGTATTGTAATTATTTACATTTGTTATAGTGGAACACACCTATTCTATAGTTAATAGACTCTCCCACCTATAATAAGTAGGAGTAGTAGGAGTCATTCAGGGAGTTGGTCAGTCAGTCAATGTCGATTGACCGGTTGAACTCTCTGCCTTCTTGAACCCGAAAGAGGCTACGCCGAAGGGCGGATTCTCTTTCAGTAAACCAACCCTGAACCTGTTTATACGGGTTCAATGGGCATATTTTTGGCTGAGCCCACAGGCTTGGAGATCCCATGTTAAACCGGCCTTGTGCCACATGATGCCCTCATGGGCGGGGACTAAATATCGTTGGTCAGTCAGTTGATGTCAGACGACCGTTAGTCGGATATTAAAGTATCAGCGACCACCACTAGATTTCTTTGTGTCATTACCTATTATATGAAGTTCCTAACGTTTTGTACGTCGAACCTATTTTAGGACCGACTTAGTACAAATACAAGCCTCCACTGTGAAACCACTCTACAACAACATTGTTCAGAATTGTCCTCATCTTTATTGCCACATTCACAACTTTTGTACACTCTGGCCTTCTTCAGATGATTGGATTTTCAAACTGAACCCTTTATTTTGTCCACTGGGGTAGATTGCTATAGTTCCACGTACCATGCCTCTTCCAGATATCTCAGTTATCTCCCTTTAACTCAACTCTTCATGTTTTTGTACACCACCACTGCTGTAGTCAGGTACTGAACTGATGACTCTTTGGGTCAACGCTTTTATCCACTTTTATCCATGTGTCCTTGAGGACATCAGTGTATAAATTTTTAGGACTTATAAGCTTAATGTTTCAGTAAACATTTTTATACAAGAGCTCATATTGCAATTTTGTTATTTCTTTTCTCTAACACGCTGTATTACTAAATTGTTTGGTTAAAATCTAAAGTACATTTTTAGAACACTGAGCACCAATTTTATAAAAATTACTAAAAAATTTATCAAAGACTTAGAAAGCATAAATTCAAATTAGTTTTTGAAAATACCTCTTCAAATTCAACTTTTCCATTAAATTCAAATATAGTCTTCATTGTTTTCAGCATTTTGATTATTTTTTTTTTCTGTGAAATTTACTGGAAGATAAAATTAGTAAGAAATAAAAATGGTGGCTATACTTACCCATATCAAAATACGCAGTCTCAGTTTAACAATTAATGGTTCCATCCACATGATAACCTGAAATAAAAAAAAAACAGCTTTCTTTAAAGAAAATCATCTTACTATAATGGATCTAGAGCAGCAAAAAGTTTAAAATTTATCTTTGTTGCTTGATGAGTGAATAAATGAATATTGAAAGGAGAAAAAATACAAACATCAGACATCCACCTAAAGTAGGTGAACAAAAATAGAGATAGTAATGCTTTTGCTTGCTTGCTTATTTGGAGGTTTGATTACACTGCCGCAGGTTTCTCCAGTCGCTGGGGTAGGCAGCAGTCAGCTAGCTCTCAAGGGAAGCAACCATATTATTGGGTTTCAAAGTTTTCACGGGACTGCCTGTCCTAGCTAACATCCCAATACAAAACTTTTGTGGCAGCATTGAGAAATTCACTATACCCACACCTAAACTGTGTGCCTCACCGTTGTCCACGTGGGGTGGATCATCCACCGAATCACTGGGGCAACTGTACCAGGACATTAGATTTTCAAAGACTGCCACTGAAGACGACTGCTGACAATGTTGTGACAAGATTTATTTTCACTATAAAAATGCATTTCCACACCTTCACAGTGGTTGACCCAGGACATGATTTAATAAAACAGGTGGACACTGAAAAGTTCTTGTCCTCACCAAGAATGTATTTACCACCCCCACCCACCACAAAAAAAAATGTTTTGTAAATTGGACTGAGATCTTTTCCATTATATATTCTTTCATTTTTCCAAAGGTTCAAATATATTTGTGTTATGGCATAGATATGGCTTAAACATATTTTGACATCACTTGTGAAAATATATATATATATATATATATATATATATATTTTCACAAGTGATGTCATAAATACGTTTAAGCCATATCTATGACAAGTGATGTCATAAATACGTTTAAGCCATATCTATGACAAGTGACGTCATAAATACGTTTAAGCCATATCTATGACAAGTGACGTCATAAATACGTTTAAGCCATTATCTATAAAAGCAGAGAAGTCAAGGAGGAAGGGGCCCAGCAGCTAGGGAGTGAGGAAACAGCAGTGACTGAAACCACAGGCAGTGAATGTCAGGGTCCTTTTCCCGTGCCTAAAAGTTAGTAAGATAGCAGTTCACTTCTCGAAGCTGAAAGAAGAATCCCAGTTAAGTGAAAAATCATTGTTTCTAACTTCCAAATAGTGTCTTTTAAAGCAATTGTCGTCATTATTTTTCGTTGAATGCAACCACGGATAAGGATACAAACCTGTGAACATAGCGTGTTGAGTGTATATGTAGATACAACCAACTTTGGACATCGTCAGTTACTGCAACGAACGACGGATGAACGGAAGACGTCATCACAAATGTCGTCACATCTGTTATTTTGTGCATGTACCTTTTCACCACCATTAGTTCATGTAAAATATCCTTGTAGAAACCATATACGTTAATTATATCGGGTGTTCCAATAACTTTGACGATTTTAAATGTGAATTAAGTTTAAGCATCTAATGATTTTTTTCTTTTTCTTTCAGATTTAACAACTTAAGTCTGTGGAAATTTCAACCATGGAAAGATTAACAATCATATGTGTTAAAGTTATCGAAGCCTATTATGAAAATGGATGTTCAAACAGAAATGCATTTCGCACAATTCACAATATTTTTGGTCAACATAATTGACCAGCTGAGAGTGCAATTGGAAAAATTGTTTGTAAATTCAAACAAACTGGGTCAGTGGCAAATGTGAAAACACCATTGCATGCTCGTTTACACTATTCAACTGAAAACATTGCTGCAGTGCATGAGAATGTGGCCGAAAATCCAGACACTTCTATTTGTCATTGCGCACAGGAATTGAATCTCTCCATAACAATGTTACATCAAATTTTGACAAAAGATTTGTCTACATTCTTACAAAATTCAATTGACACAAGAACTGAAAGCTGTTGACCATTTGGAGTGCCATACATTCATCAATTGGGTACACAAGCAAAGACAAGCCGATGAAGATTTTTCGCAAAAAATCCTCTTTAGTGATGAAGTCCATTTTCGTCTTTGTGGATTTGTTAATAAGCAGAATTGTCACATTTGGGCTTATGAAAATTGAAGTAAGATTGTTGAAAAGCCACTACATCCACACAAGGTCATTGTTTGGTGTGCATTTTTTGCTAGCAGAATCATATTTATAAATTTGAACGTCCATTTTCATAATAGGCTTTGATAACTTTAACACGTTTGATTGGCAATTTCAACCGTGGAAAATTAACAAAGACTTAAGTTGTTAAATCTGAAAGAAAAAGCAAAAAAATCATTAGACACTTAAACTCAATACACATTTAAAATCGATTCAATTTACTGGAACACCCTATAGAAGTAGTTGACACACTAAGCAACCAACAAATTGAAGTGATTTTCAACAAATCACTGAAATTTAAAAAAAAAAAAAAAAAAAAAAAAAAATGCACTTTTTTTTTCTTTTTTAAATAAGTGCACATATATGCACGGGTGTTCAGGTGAATCATAAATTACTGAATTTTGAAAAGTTCTGGAAGAAATACAAACTTACCAAAACGGTGATGAGGCATGAGAAATAGAACGAAGTCAGCAGCATTTCATTCATGAACAACAACAACCAACTCATCAACCAACTAAACTGTAAAAGAAAAAAAATCAAAATTATTAAATGCAATTAAAAATTTGAAAAGGTAAAAGAGAAAAATAAATCTTAAAAATAAAATTTCAATTGAAAACCTTTTGTTTTCAAACAAAATGTTTTGTTAATAAACTTAAAGCATAGGACTATTGTCTTTATCTTTGTTGTTGTGTCCACCAGCCTTCCTCAGATATATATTGATGCAGGTAACCCACATGATATTCTGAAGTGAACACTTTATTTAATCTCTTGGGGGTAGACTGTTCTCGTTTCACTACACTTATTTAGGGATATCTTGTCTTGTTCTTATTTTTAGTATTGCTCAGTTATCTTTGGCTATCCCAATTCACTTTTGCACTGGGTTGCAAGGTATATGACAAATTTTAAAAAACAGCTAATATAACAGTGTAAACACATGTGCAATTAGTTAAAATGTCGCCAGACAAACATAAATGGCTATATTGCTACACCTACAAACCTGGAGCAGGGTCCACTGTAGACATTAGCTGTTTGATTTGGTTGGCATATCATTAGGCTAATGTGCACTTTCAGTGCAAACACCACACTTTGTTTTGGGGTAATGAAACATGAAAAAAATAAAGAAGGGGGAGAAGGGGGGAAAGAGAAATGAAAAAAGAGAAAGTGGAGAAAGAGAAATGAAAAAAGAGAAAGCGGAGAAAGAGAAATGAAAAAGAGAAAGGGAAAAGAGAAAAAAAAGAAAGAAAGAAAATGAAAAAAAGAAAGGGAAAAGAGAAATGAAAAAAGAGAAAGCGGGGAAAGAGAAATGAAAAAAAGAGAAAGCGGGGAAAGAGAAATGAAAAAAAGAGAAAGCGGGGAAAGAGAAATGAAAAAAAGAGAAGGGGGGAAGAGAAAAAAGCTTATTAAAAGATAAAGTGGAAATATGAAGTGGATGCTGAAAAGGTCTATTACATCAAGAAGGAATTACAGTGTAACCCGGATATAAGAGAGATTTTCTCTGGTCCCAAATTAGAGCCTGTGTTAATGTATATAAAATAGACCAAACCCGGATATAAGAGACTTCTCCGGTCCCGACAACTCTCTTATATCCGGGTTACACTGTACTAAAATTCATCAAACATCAAATATTTTTCTAAGTGGGTCAACCCAATAACTTTTCAGCACCCCCTCATAGAAAAGAGTAAGAGAAACAATTAAATAGAATGAATATTTTGACACTAAAATTACTTACCAACTGTCCAAATATGATAATCTTTAATTTTTTTGAGCCAATAAATTGCAACATGTAAGTCGCAAACACCGACATTGTCTGTGTCAACAAAGCAAACTGTGCAAACTAAAGATAAAAAAAAATAAAAAAATGTATAACTGAATTTGTAAACAAAGATTTTACTAACATTACATTTAATCCACATTAAAACAGTTTCTAAAGAAAAATATTTTATAAGAATTTATTAAATGTTGATAAAACTTTTAAAAATCTAAACTGCTGAATAGATTATCTCCTTTGGGTATAATTTGAAATTTATTATCTACTAGCTTAAAGGCCACACTCCGTGCAAACTTTTAAGTTTCCTCCTGCAGAAGGCTAATTGGGTCTTCATCCCAAAAGTAAATAGGCCTCTGTTACAACTTAGTAAACAGCAATGATAATTTTGATCAAATAACTTTCAATTCGTCAATTTACTCTATGGAAATTCAAAATCAAACTTTAACTCTGATTTGGGCTATAAGCCCATTTCCAACCAAAAGGCTGATTTGGGTTGAATATTCCAATTCAGGCTGAAAATGGAGTTCTTCAAATCACAAACTCTGCAGAACTTCAAAACCTCGTGTCATAAAACCTCCCACATTAACTCTGATTCTGTGGCATTTTGAAGAAATAAACTTGATTTCATCAATTCAAAGTTTTGGAGATATTTTAAACTGAATTTAAAACAAAACTTTTTAAATTCACAAAGTTTTTGTGTTACTTTAAACTCAATATAAATCAAAAAAACTTTTAAAATCACTAATTTTTTTTTAGTTGTTTTAAAATTTGAATTTTTAACCATTCTCTCATCCAGACACAAATCCCAATGCTGGAGGTTCAAGCACCAGATGAAGGGCAGATTTTCAATCTTAGGACCATCCCAATTCCCAAAATGTATAATATGTTGATATAGAGCAAGTGTGGCCAGAGTTAGAGGAATTTCAGATACACAGATGGACAGACAGAATTTGCCATTTATTTAGATAGAAGATTATACTATTTATTGTAGTAGAAAAAGTAAAGGATTAAAATTTTATATGAAACTGAAGTAAAGTCACTAAAATGATATATTTGTAATGGATATTATTTATAAGCTAGTAAAGTACACTTAAAAAATCATATTATTAATGTATAGATCAGCACTTCTGTCTAGAACAGTGGTTCTGAAACGGTGCGGCGGAAGAGGATAACAATTGAGATGGAATGATTGAAAGACAATCAAAGATTTAGAAACAGTTTCAAAAAATTTATATGCCAAAAAATAAATACGATTTCAAAATTTAAAATATTATTATGGATTACTTGTAATTGCATGCATGAGTCCCGGTATAAATAGTTATAAATAATTATTGACCGATTTTATCATTGTGATATTTTTTTGCATTATATCAAGTCTCAAGAATATAGTAACTAGGGGTCCACAAATTGGAGGGGAGAGTTATCAATGATAATGTTCTGACTGAATCCGCAGTTATCTCCTTTTAACCCTCTCTCTGATTTTTATTTTTTAAATGTACTTTTTATCATATAAAATTTGATGAGGCACAAACAAATTTTAATTCTGAAAATGCAGTCCAGAGAAAAAAATGTCTGGGAACCACTGGTCTAGAAGAACAGTGTCTGGGAACTCTACTTAGGTTTATATTGTGTAATATTTTTTTGTATTGATAAAAATGTATTCATTTCAAATATTACAAAATTAATTACATAATTGAAAATTATGGAATTGTTCAGACATTAAAAGAAAGTAATTTTTTTATTGTACAATAAGATCATTTTTGTGAATTTTAATTTGATCATGACTGCATGTCATTTAAATTTCATTATGAGAAAAGTTTTTAAGAATTGCTAAAAAGAAAAACATGGATGCACAAATCAAGGAAAAATATAACCTTCTGAAGTAAGGCTTATTAAAAGTTTATAACAAAATTTAATTTATTTTTTTTTCACATCTTATTTCATGATTTTCAATGAAAAAAAAAAATAGAAATTCAAGAAGTAACGGTCTCTCACCTGCCAAGGAATCATGAAGAGTGTAGAAGCCACTGCAATCCAGAAACCATGCCGCCACAGTGGACGAGTGGTTCTGCAAAAGACAGGAGAGATTGTTTCATTCTTCGAAACTGGAATTTACCCCACCACCACCACACACACACACGACAATAGACAAAGAGCACTGCTGGAGAGTGAGGAAGTTGGAAGAGGTGGCATATATTGTCTTCTTGGTTAGGTGCATAAGGTAGGCTAGTATGCAGGACGTGATTTAGGCCTTAATTTTTTGGGCTAATAAAATTTAGGGGCATGCCTTCATTACCTATGTTCATGCCCAGTGTCATATATAAGGATAGATAATAAATGTGAATGTCACCGTGTCACACTTTTTAATTAAAAGAGACAACTTTCAATAGCTCATGTTACAGAAATTCTGGATTCCCAATTTTTGTTACAGCTATTATTTTCAGTGATTATTTTTTTTTTTTTTTTAATACAAGTTTTTTGCGACATTTCTTTGTACAATAACAGTTTTTGGAAATAAAATCAATTTGGGAATAATTGAAAATACAGCAAAAGTCACCACGTAATAATTGTTTTTATGTAAAGTAAGGACCTACACACATCAAATTGTCTTTAAATTAAGTGGAGGCAGAAGAACTATTACTAGGGTGAGCTTAAATATTAATGCAATACTTAAATGCAGGGATCGATTTTGAGTTCTTCTGTAGTTTATTGTTGCCTATAGCATATTGCAGAAGTATGCCACACAAAAAGAAATCTCTGCAAACAGAGGACCAGATTGCAATCAAAAGAGTCAAGTCAAAGTCCCATGCAAATGAAAACCCAGATCAAATGGCAATGAGGAGAGCTTCCAATGTTGAGAATATGCAAAGACTTGGGGACTCTCAAAGTCCTGAACAAGCCTTGCTGCCCAATAGTGGGGGGAGGCGGCTTTTAAACTAGTGTTTTTAGATGCTTTTTTGGTGTAAAACATGAAATACTTCAAGTAAAATTTTTAATGATTTTGGATTAGTGATTAATGATTTAAAATTTTTTTTTATTGATTCATTTTCTATCCTTTGCAAGTTATTTAAAGCCAGAAAATATCTTTAGATTGTAATTTTTTTTTTTTTTTTGAGTTTTGAGATAATGATTTTGTGATACATAGCTGGGGTGAGAAGAAGTGGATTCATATGTTTCCCAAGAGTATTTGCACATAAGTGTATCGGGTGTAACACCAAAATTGCCCAAATCATCTAACAGCATAATTGTCCATCCCACAAAATGTTAAAAAAACAAAAAACACTAAACTAATTGAGTTTCTTTTTCCCAGGTTTTCAGATAAAATGTTTGGCATCTTGACATCGTTGTAAGAATCACTGAAAAACCCTTTGAGTTATTCAGCTAGAAAGAGAACAGGTTAAAATCATTTTGTGTCAGACCCACTGTCTTCTCAAATGAGCAATGGTGAGAGGAAAAAGATCATTCAGGCCTTCAGTAATGGTACCAACATTCATACTCTGGCTTCCATTTTCAAAGTCCATTCAAGAACCATCAAGAGAAAAGTGAATAAGTTTAAAAAAGACGGAACCTCACAATACTAATGTTGTTGAGAGGAAAACTGGATCAGGAGGTCATAACAGGGAGAGGGATCATCATTTCAACTTAGAGCTAAAGAGTTCCATTAGAAAAGATCTAACTCAATCCATAAGACATTTGGCACACGAGAGAAGAGTTTCCACCATGACAGTCCAAAGAGCAGTGAAAAAGGACTTAAAAATGAAATCATGTGAAACCTGTGAGGTACCTTCTTACTCCAGGACAGAAAGTTAGATTAGAGAAGGCGAAGATCATCTTGAATAAGTTGGAAAATGATTCTGGAATAATATATATATATATATATATATATATATATATATATATATATATATATATATATATGAACTTTATTTCAATCCTTCATGAGCTTCTGATCCTTAGCTATGATTAATTAATGATGAACATGTCCTTTTCGTTTATGATCGATTTCATCACGATTTTTCTATTAAACTTGGAGAATAATTATACATTCTTACTTCTCAAAGTAGAGTCCAATAACGTTATAAAAACTTCACAGAATTCCAATAAGATATCTTTAGTCATTTCTAAGATACAACGGTTCAAAGCTTAATCTAACAAATAGACAATCTTGCTATTATCCAATTTGGACAATTTTGCCGTTACACCCTGTATAATGAATCTGAGATAATATCAATTATTAATTTTTGTGATTGCTATTTTCTTCAGTTTCCATCACAACTTCCAAACTCATTTTACAGTTGTTTATAAGCAATATAGATCAAGAATAAAAAAAAATAAGCTTTATTTACATTTTGTTCTTTTCTTTATTTCATTCAATCTTGCATATTATTAAAGCTGATTTTTTACATAGTTTGTCTTTTATTAACGTCAATTAGTACTGCAGGGCATTGTTGTAGCATTTGTTGAAAATTCCACTAATTTTTGATGGAGATGGATCTAGCTCTATCTTCAAATAATAGGAAAGTTGCATAGATTGCCTAGGTAACAATTGGTAGAGTTACAAAAAAGATGCTTTTCACAAAGCAAAACTGATGAGTGGTTATCAATAGTAGCCACTTCATTTATTAACAGGGCCCCTTATAAGCCCAAAGTACAATCACATTTTAACCAGGTAGAGAAAACAAGATTCAGTCAAATCTCCTGAGCAACCAACAGCAGTGCTTCCACCTCTATGAGGAGAGTTCATGGCTGCTAACTTATTTTCCACACATTAAGACTGTGGGGCTTTTAAAATATTATCGATATATCATTTAGTTTTTAATTTTCTTGTTTATATTGGCTTTAGTGCTCTTTCTGATTTTTATAGGGGGGGGGAGAGAGCACATTTTATTTAGAAAATTACATTACCCAGAATGCCTTAGAGGACTACTACTACTAAAGATAGCAGCAGCAGCAGCTGTATTAGCTTTGATGTTATTTTTCTGATCAGTTTATTTTGCTGTAACTTTTAACCCTCCATTAGTATTGTGGGTTTTTTTAGACACCTCCATTTAAAATGTAGGTAGATAATATATAACAAGAAAATTAACAACTATATTATCTAGAGACTGCTTTATGGTTTTTAAATGATAAAAAGTTTTATTCTGAGAAATTGAATTGAAAGACCAATTTTTTCCCCAACAAATATTCTACTAAAACCAGAACTTCCTTGTAGTTACTGGATAGAGATATTCAGAAAATTTGACTTGCCACTTGCTAAATATTAAGGAAAAATATTTTGTGGGACATAGAACCACCTCCCAGTACTAATGAAGAGCTGAGTATCCCAAGTGAATTAACTCAAGGAACTTATCATTATGGAAGATGAATATTATAAGACAAATCAGTTTGTTAACTTACCTCAACACATGAGTGACAAGAAACAATTCTATAACAAAGAAGGGATATGCAAAGCTTTCACGCAGAGGCGGAGTCCACTGTACCCGAGTACACTGAAAGATATCAACAATAAAAGGAACATTTCTTATACAAATCCTATATTGAACAATATGGCTTGACTTTGGACTTTCATGCGATTACATGTTAATGTAAGGCAAGCAATCTTAAAAACATGATGGTGACAAAGATTGGGTTTCACACACACACAAAACAACCAGTTTATTGTATATTTCTGGAGGATAATGCCTTTAAGGCGAGCAGCTTTTGTAAGTGAAGTGCTCAGTATTAAAAAAAATAAAAATAAAAATAAAAGCATTAATAGTAAACAAAATTAAAAGTTAAAACCAACTGTCCTCCCTCACCTTAAAAAAACATTATTCTTAATTAATACAAGTCAACATTTCAAAATAACTACTTTTTTTTTTTTTTTTTTAATCAATTAACCCCAAGCAAGGCAATAATGCCACTAAGACACAAGGGGCTATTGGGAGTGAAAGAGAATGAAAACATTTTAGAAGAAACTAGAAACCCGATCCTAAACAGGGAACAAGGAATAAATCTCTACTCCTGTTCAAAAGGTTAAGGAGGAGTATGAACCGGGTGATAGGCAAACCTACCTACTCCTATTGAGGAAAAAATAAACAGTAAATAAAATGTCAGAGCTTAGGCAGAGACATCAGAAGTATAGAGCTGAGGTAGACTTTAGTGGAGTATGAACCGGATGATAGCCCAACCTATCTACACTTATTTTAAGAATAAAGCCCTTAACAAAAAAAAAAATTAAAAAAAATAAATAAATAAAAAAACTTACCTCACCATGGTTACAAAAAAAAGATGCCACGGCCAAGATTCCGCCAAAAATGCTATTACTGGAAAAAAAAATAAATAAATAAATAAAATAAAACTTGCTATACATATTAATTTGGAAGTAACAGGGGAAAAGAAAGATTTAAAAAATATTCTCCTGTGTAAAGAACTTCATTTCTAAATAAAGTCTCTATGGATGGAAAAAAAAAAAGAAAAAGTCTTTGTAACATGATCAAGTTTTATTTACATGCATATATATTTAGTATTTAGGCAAAACTTACAATATATGCTACAAAGAATTCTTAAGAAAAATCTTCATTAATTGTTTTTTTTTTTAATTACCTCTTCATTTTTCTTTGTTACAAATTTTACCGTAGGTCAGTATATGGAGTAAATAGGTAAATTGTCGCCATTTTATATTTTTTAATTTTGTGCATGTGCATTGTTTGTTTTTGATTTTGTCGACTGCACAGTATAGTAGGGTCAGTTGGGCACCGTCTTTGAGAAAAAGAGCACCATGACACAATTCACTCTGCCAGAAATTTGGAAATGGCATGCTGTACAGCTTGGCATTCATGCTGGAAGCTCCAATACGAACATTTCATAGTGTTTGGGTGTCAATCTGAGAGCCATGCAGAGGATTCGGAAAGAGTTGGATGAGTCTAATGGTGATTATGAAGGTTTGGCAGCTTAAAAAACACCCTTTGATTGTTCTGGTAAGAAAAGAATCCTAAATTTGCTGGTGAGGGCCTCAAACTCAACACAGATGCCTGGAGGTAGTGCCGTCCTGAGTGAAGAGGGTGGTGACTGCTGGAAGACCCTATGCCTGGCAACAGGACTCTGCACTATACCAGACCAGGAGAAACCAGTCATGGCTGTCAGACAAGTTCTGTGACCACATTACACCTTACATTTGCCCACCTAGCTCCCCAGACTGCAACCCCCTTGATTATTATGTGCAGGATGCAGTTGAGTGAGAGACCAACAAAACTCCTAGTAACACCAAAGAACAAATTGAAGGCAAGGATTATGGCAGCATTCACCAACTGCCCAAAAGAAATGCAGGAGATTCCAAAGTCATCTTGAGGGTGTGGTTGAAGCCAATGGCGATTTTATTGAATAAAGTTACTCTTTAGTATTTCAAGATATTTTTGTGTAATTTTGGTAAATATATCTGTTAAAATGGGATGCCAGTGTTATTTCCATTTTTGTGCCATTGAGACGACAATTTATCCCTCGCACCCTGTATATTGTAAGTGTTAAAGTTTCATACTTCATACCTTAAGTAAACACCAAACAGGAGAAATATAAACATCATCAGTCCATGTAAAGCAAATACACTTTCGACATAGAAGTATGCAGGTTCACCAAGACCTACAAAAGAAAATCATACATACAACATATAAGGGAATGTGATATATATACATTTCTAGATATCAAAACAATGACAGGTAAATGAATGAAAAATTAAAAAAAAAAAAAAAAAAAAAAAAAAAAATCTGTGTAACACATTTCGTCCTCTAGAAGAACTTCATCAGACTAAAGTGATATTTTTTTTCTTTGATGAATTATGTGTGGGAAGCGTCCATTATAATTATGCACCAACAGGAAACGCTGAAGATGTTGGATCACTGAAATTTTAAATTATTTTATTTATTTATTTAGACCTGTTTTTGGGGGGCTTTTCAGTTTCCTTAGGCTAAAAAAAAAAAAAAAAAAAAAAAAAAAAAAAAAAAAAAAAAAAAAAAAAAAATCACTTTTATTATTAACGATCTCACTTCCCCTTCCAACACATTACTAAAGTCTGATGAAGACTTTTTTTTTCTTTTTTAATAAATCATTTCACACCATGGAAGGCAGTAAAGCCATTAAGACACAAGGGGGTTACCAAGTGTGAAAGAATAAGAAAAAAAGAGAAACTATTAAAGAGTAAGAACAATAAAAGTATAATCAAGGGGCAGTAGATAATGATTGACATTGCATTTAAATTGTTGAAAGTCAAAGTTGGCTGGAAAGCATGGAACTAGAAGTTCCACAAGCCAGAAAAGAAACTGTTAACATAGAGCTTACGGTTATATCTAGCAATTTCAACTGTAAATTGATGAGATCTTGTTGGTAATCTAGTACTGCACTTAAATTCATTCAATTAAATTTATTAAATTTTTATTTATTATTATTTATTTATTAATTTTTTTATTAAATTTATTCAATTAGGGACGAAACATGTTACACAGATTTTTTTCCACTTATTTGTTACCATAGAGAAAAGTACATTATAACAATTACCATTGAATTATTCATAGAAAAGACACAGGGAAGCTATGTTACAATGGTTAAGAAAGTGACTGAAGCTGACACACCAGGTCAGGACAAATAATATTGCTGAATCTTCTTTGGATTTTACCAAGAATCTCTAAATATATATAGCAGGGGCACTGGACCATAATTGGCAGCAATATTCTAAGCATGGATGAATGTTAGACTTATAGATATGTAAGATAGACATTTTTTCTCCCCAGAATCTAAAATTTTAGGGATGAAACATGTTACACAGATTTTTTTTCCACTTTGTTATTCATTTTCCTAAAATACAACATAGAACACACGCATTGTCAACTGTTGACTTATCCATGTTTCTTATAGTAGAAGTAGTCTCACATATTGAATAAATATATATATATATATATATATATATATATATATATTGAGACACTGACATTTCGAAAAATGTTCAAGAAAGCATGTTTTGAAAATAATATCCAATAACGTATTTTGCCTATGTGGCTTCATCAGATGGATAACGAAAAATGTGTTGGGCATATATGCATGAACGTTTTTTCAAATATCAATAACTTATAACTCTGTTAGGATTACATACCCAAATTAATTACATACTGTCGACATGGAGAATGAATGGATAAAAACAATTCTTTCATTTATTTTCTACCCATTCTGAAGGATTTCCATCTTGAAGCTCGGGCACTTAAAAACGGAGAATATAAGATAAATGATTTTTTTTTTTTAAAAGTCACTCATTTTCTTTCCCTTTTAGTCTCGAATAATGCCAGCTTTGAAAAAATAATATAAGATTTAATTATTTTAAACACACACTAATGTATAAACACAAACACATTTTTCATTATCCATGTGATGAAGCCATAAAGGCAAAATACATTATCAGATATTATTTTTGAAACATACTTTCATGAACATTTTTCCAAATGTCAAAAATTTGTAACTGTTGGGATTATATAACCAAATTTATTACATATTGAAACAGGTTTAATTGAATAATTTAGACAAGTTTTGTCTACTCATTTTCAATTGGATCCTTTCATATTCAGAGACAAGCTTTTTGATATCATTATTAAAGAAAGAGAGAAAATTACTGTGTTGATACATATTTATTCTGAGTACATTAGTACAATGTCTTCATGAGGGTGTTCTTTATTTCAAGACAAATACTGTAGTGTTCATCATTTTCAAAGACAAAATTACCTCAAGGTAATAGTTTTTAATAGTTTTTAATACTTATTCATACTTTTAAAAACTCGACAACCTCCTTAGTTACCTCCCCTGAAGTGTTAATCAAGCTAATTACATGGCACTAAACTCAGTGTTCTTTGCAAGTAAAAAATTTTAACTCTCAGATGAACACTACAATATTTGTCTTGAAAATGTAAAAGGAAAGGCCGGTAGATATAATTCACACAGTTAAAATAGTGGTTTCCCCTTACAAAATAGGATGCAGGTTTGAATCCTTCTAGAGAACACATTCTCTTTATTAAGACTCTCAAATGCACAAGCTGGTAGATGTAATTCACACTGTTTAAAAAGACAGAGCATCTACTCAAACATATATATCCATTAAAATATAAGATTATATATATATATATATATATATATATATATACACACAAATTTAAATCTATGATAATTCAAACAATTATTGATAATTGTATTTTTATACATTTTTATGTGAAGATATAAAGACCAAAATTAAGCTGTGGGTCCTTGTTATCTAAACTGTAGCCTAACTGGAATTCCCTAACTTCCATCTAAGTGTCACTTGACCCTGAAAGTTTTTATTTATATATTTTATTTCATTTTCTCTATTTCTACATGGTGGTGATTGCTTTGAAACTTTTCACATCTCAATGTTACTGTTGACACAGTAGACAGTAGGTAATCATAAAATATTGGTCAATCCAGGATTAAATAAAATCATTTATAGCCCACTTGAGTGGGTGAACTAACCAAACAATTTGGGGGCCCATTGGGCTACAGGTCCACTATACTCTAGATATGGCATTCCAGATTTTCCCCAAAGTGAAAATTGTCCTTGACAAGCAATGTTAAATTGTGAATGAAATTAAGGGGAGCATGAAGAGGCAGCTTTAAAAAAATGGAAAGGATATTAGGATAAGTGTATGAGATTACAAGAGAGAGCAGTTTGAAGTGGACTATGGCATTATTGCATTTGATGGACTATTTTTTTTTTCATGTTCTAGATGGCTGAATACTTTCCAGACAGATCTTATTGAGTGTATGGGGTTGTTTCATTTGAATCCAAAATAATAATATCAGGTCTCTTTCAGTGCTTACCTTCACAGCTTTCCACTGGAGAAAGCCCTTCCCCACGATTAACTCGCCAACACTGTTTTGTCTCTCGTTGGAAGAAAGCATTGATGGATTCGTACGATCTGTAGCCAATTGCCAAAATCATCTGTTAAGAAAGCAAAATATGGTCATCATCCAGTATAAAAGCCAAGCTGAACAGGAATTCTATTCAATGTGTGTTAATGCAACAGAAAATAAATTAAGTGATTTATAAACAAGAAGTACTAAATAAGAAAAAGATATCTCTACTAACAAGAGGATGTTTCTTCAATCACTCACATTTAAAAAGCAAAACAAAAATTTAGTTATCAAAACCTTAGGACATAAGCAACAATCATATGAAAATTAAATTTAACTTAATTTCCAAATGGGGAAAATTTACTACTAAAAGAAATTTTCTAGAGATTTACTTCTAGAAGAGAAGAAATTTTCTAGAGATTTACTTCTAGAAGAGAAGAAATTTTCTAGAGATTTACTTCTAGAAGAGAAGAAATTTTCTAGAGATTTACTTCTAGAAGAGAAGAAATTTTCTAGAGATTTACTTCTAGAAGAGAAGAAATTTTCTAGAGATTTACTTCTAGAAGAGAAGAAATTTTCTAGAGATTTACTTCTAGAAGAGAAGAAATTTTCTAGAGATTTACTTCTAGAAGAGAAGAAATTTTCTAGAGATTTACTTCTAGAAGAGAAGAAATTTTCTAGAGATTTACTTCTAGAAGAGATAGATATATCAAGATAAGGAGACAGTAGAAGATCAGAGTTTCCTGGAAAGCAAGAAGCCAGAAGAGAGATCCACAGTTGAGAAAAACTGTTAGCATAGAAATTACAGTTACATCTAGCCAACTCAAAGTATAAAATGATGGGACCATTTTGCCAATCTAGTACTGAGCATAAACTCAAAGTCTAGGTACCATAGAGGAAAGGTCATCAGAACAATTACCATGAAAGTATTTATAGAAAAGACATAAAGAAGCTTATTTATGGTGATGGGAAAGTGACTGAAGCTGGGATGCCAGGTCAGGACAAATAACATTGCAGATTCTTTGGATTTTATTAAGAATCACTAAATATATAGCAAGAACACCAGACCAGATGTGGCAGCAATATTCAAACATGGATGAATGGTAGACTTAAATAAGCAAGAGGGTAACATGCAAAAGAGATTCTGGAGAGAAAAATTGTTCAAGACGGCACCATGAACCAGCTTTTCCAGTGAAACCCCAATTGGGTGTAATGATAATATGCTAGTCCTCTAGGCAGCCTTACTTCAACAAGTAGCAGCGCTCCATTTGCACTTAGGAGGGGGCCGAAGTCAATTCCGGTTCCAAAAAAGTGCCAAGAGAAGCCCCAAAATTGGCTTTCTTTTCTCTAAATTGATATTAGTGCATATTTGCCCCTTTTGTGCCGAGCAAAATAAGCTAAAAGGATTAAGCCAGAATTAAATAATTAGATTGCGAGGTCTGCTGCAAGGTAAGTTGGTCCAGGCAGTTTTCTGCGTCTGAATCCTTCTTGCACATTTATAAATCTAACATTAAACATTGCCGCCATATCTGGTCTGGTGCTCTTACTATATATCTCAAGATTCTTGACAAAATTCAAAGAAGGTTCTGTCATGTAATTGATCCTGACCTGGCATCTCGACTTCAGCTACTTTCTCACCAACATGATGCAGCTTCCCTGCGTCTTTTCTGCAAATATTTTTAAAACTGTTCTGACAACCTTTTTTTGTTAGTGCATCAATTACATGAATTTAAACATGCTGCTGGATTGGTAATTAGGTCTCAGTGTTTTACTCTTGAACTAGCTAGACGCAACCATATATCTTAATCTAATAGTTTCTTTTCCTGCACTTCTTACCTGTGGAACTCCCTTCAAATTTCTTGCTTCTGCCATCTATGATCTTCAAAAATTTAAATGCAACACCAATTGTCATCTTCTGTCTTCATAAAATTTGTTCTTTTATAGTCCTTTCTTCTCACTAAAAGTTTCCTCATTCTCTTTCACTCCCAGATATCACTTGTATCTTAGTGATATTATCCCCTTTCTTGGGGTGAAATGATAAAAAAAAAAAAAAAAAATCAATCTTTAATTATAAAGCAACCCACTTACCTCAGGGTACAAGTTGAATCGTTTTAAAGTGTTGATGACAAGTGGATACTCTGTAACATTGTCGTTCATTATATTGGTGACCCCGTCCTGCAAAGTGGGGGATTCCACCATAGTTTTGAAGTACGAGTAGTACAAACCCTGAACAAAATTAGAAAAAAATAGATTCAACTTTTGGAATAAGATATTGTAAGCCGCCTTTTTTACATTATCAATGCAGTGTCTTTCATTTTTCGAGCATGCAGTGGACCCTTTCCCAGTTTTCACTGTACACGGAGGATTCAGTGGAAAGCTTAGCTGAATGTTTACATGAATAAGTATACAGTATCACAGCTTACACATGGAGACATTGGAATGCTTCTTGCCTTTGAGCAATATAGACCAGTTTTTATGTTTATATAACTCCACTGAAACACGCATATCTTTTGGTAGCTATTAACTGTAACAATATTAAATGAGACATTCAAATATTCCCTTTGATCAATATCCAAATCCAGAGCCACACAGGTGTAGCCATACTTGGCCAATTGTGGGTTAGTGAAACTATTTAACCCATAACTGGAGGTTCTGAATTCAAAGTTGTACATCACGCTAGGCTATAGGACACAGTCTGTTCTGCTATTTACCCATAGCTGGGGGGGTGGGAAGAAGAGATGGATTCATACCTTTCCCAAGGGTATTTGCATGCAAGTTAATGTAACAAACTCGACTGGAATTTGAACTCAGCTCTTTCAATTCCTCAATTGGAGCTGATATCAATTACTCCACCATGACTCCAATACAGAAAAGTTTTTTTTTAGACTTTATATCTCTATTAAACCATGCAGATCTATTAGTAGCCATTTTAAGAATTATTCTCCACACAAGATCAGATTGTTCAATTTGATTTAGGGAGGAGAATACAACTTAGTTCCTTTCCTATATATTTTTTATTCTATTTATAAAATGACCTTGTGTGATGCTATGAATCCCCACATAAAAAGATAAGTGGTTTTATCTTGATCTCAAGTGCTTCTGTTTGATATCCAGCAGATGGTTCCTTTCGAAGTTTAGTCTTCTAAGCCACATCAACTTTGACTGAAAGGGGAAAAGAAAAGTAAAGGAATGGATGAGAGGTTTTTGGAGATCAAGTGGCAATAAAACTGGAAATAGAGTATATCTGGGTGCCGGCCTATATTAAATTCATGCTTTGGATCAGGGAAGAGTTCTAGTCTACTCTTAACAATAGACGGACCCATTCACCACATGGTTCCTGTGCCATCCATTTGTGTCACCAGTCACCACATTGGGATGCATAGATAAGCAAGGAGTTGATAGACAGGAAAGTGGAGCTGTTGGATCAACATAGCAGAAGTTGTCTCAAGTATCACCTACCTACCCATCCAGATGAGTAGACAAAAACCTTAAAACATCTATTTTATAATATGGGAAACAGGGTTCACGTTATTTCTCAACATGGCAATTGTCTTTCATCATGTTACTTTGTGAACATGCAGTGGGCCCTTTCCCAACTTTTGATGCACGTCAATGAGATTGAGATTCAAAATAAATGCAACATTTGGCTGGTGGCTGGAGAGCTTGTGTGAAAGTAGAGTTGTATGTTTACTCTCAATTTTATATGCATTTTTCCCCTTTTATTTCATCTATTGACTAGACATTAGATTGTGAAATTTACTTAATATTCACAGGGATGATATATCAACAACTAATTAGGTCTCAAGGTTCAACAGGCTAAAGTTCTTCACTGTTGTGGTACAGAGGCAGTTCTGAAACAAGTGAAATTTACCAAAGATTTCCAGGTTCAGTCTATCAACAATAGGTCAGGTTTCCGTCTTTAAAACGTCAAAAATAGAATGTCCTCCTGTATATGCATACACAGTGAAGTAATGTCTAGTAAGTTAGTCCCATACATTATTATTATACTAATTCAAGCTTCACTGGATGTTATCACATGTTTGACCTTATACCAGACTAAACTACAATTGTTAACTGGCCACATACTACAAACTATCTAAATTTCACTGTTCAAAAATTTTGTTGCAATTTTGCTAGACTAACGGAGATCAATAAAAATTTTAGTAAAACGTCTGAGCCAGCATTCTATTATTTAATGCTTGACAATTTATCAATAATTTTATCTTGGCTTGGTCAGGGCCACTTCATGAAATTATTGTCTGAGAAGATACTGCTAAGAATAAGTGTTAAAAAAATAAATTAAAACAAGAACACATTAGGAACATCTGTGGCCATATTGAATACTAGTTGGCCATTTGCAGAAATTTGATCAAGATTTAGCCTATTGATTTTCAGAATATTTGTACTCTACTCTAAAATTCTGAATACAAAAAATCCAGCCATCAATATATTTTTGTTGAGATTAGATGCCATTGATTTCAGTGTCAAAATATGTAGTTCAAGAACTTACACATGAAAGGGTTCCAGATAAAAATTAAAATTAAAAGTTAATTTAGGCTTTGGCTCAATTCTTAAAGATTTTATAAAATTATTTCTATCTTTAAATTGATTTTATTGAATAATTAATTATAGATTTAATGTTTACTTCCAAAGAGGTTTTAAAAGATTCTCATTTGAAAGACATTTTTATTGCTGCTAAGATATGAGAAGCCATTTCAGCAGTTCATCAAATGACACATCAGTGGCAAAAAGATAAGATCTTAAAGATATCATAATATATTGAAGGAAGCAGCCTCCTTATATCTTTTGAAGAAAATTTGTAAAATTGATTACATTGAAAATTAATTGAAAAATAGATCACTTCTATTTAAATAAAAAAAAAAAAAAAAAAAAAAAAAAAGAAAAGATTATAATGAATACATCAAATGATTCATAGATATTCTTCATGAGTATTTAGGAAAATAATATTGATGGAAAGACATAAAAAAAAAAAAAAAAAAAAAAAAAAAAAATAAAGACAATGACTTACCATTTCAGTACGGAAAGAAAGTTCTCTCTCCAGGGTAGAAAGATGGGAAAAATGTTTATCATTTTCAAACATTTTGGATACATGGTTCCTAAAAACAGACAAGGAGAGAAAAATATTAAAGTCACATTAGAAATAAAATTCAAACAACTGATGATAAAAGATATATAGATATGACAGAAATACCAACTACATAATGCTAACACAGATGAAGACACCATTGACACTAATGTCTTACCATTATGTGGGAGGAATTTCTGCCACAACCTTTATTTTAACATCCTTAAAAATCTAGTAAAGAATTATACAGGAGACACAGTGGAGTAATGGATAGCGGCTCAGATTGAGGAATCGGAGAGCTGAGTTTGAATTCTAGTCGAATATATTGCATTCACTTATGTGCTAATACTCTTGGGAAAGGTATAAATTTTCTTCTCCCCCCAGCTATAGGTAAATAGGACAGACCAGGTTCTATAGCCTTGGATGGCAGCTGGTCTACTGCAGAAAGAAATGGCAACCTACTGTGGGGAAAAAAAAAAAAACAAAACAAAAAAAACAAAAAAAACAACAAACACTGCCTTGTCAGTCATGTATCAAAAGATACATGATTGCCTAAGCGTGTATCACGCATGGCACATAACTGACTGAAGGAATTATACAGCTATGGTTTAAATAACAAAGTACACTAGGCTCTCTAGACTTGTCTATCGGAGGATTGGATCAACCCGACAAGAGACCCAGATGTTGGTTGCGTGTGGTGCAGTAAGCGCCAGGAGTTACGTCCTCTTCCACAACTGGCTGTTGAGAGAAAACATTCTATTTAGCGTAGGTGGTGCTGACAAAATTTGCATATGAACAAAACTGGGCAGGTGTTATCCAATAGTCACCAATAATACCAGCTTTTTGCATTGGACTTTACATTTACTTTACCAAGATAACCAGACAAGATGAACACAACTTGACTAGCAACCAGTTTAAGATGAAGAAAAATGTGAATCCTGAAACATGGGAAAATCACTTAACTATCTTTTCCAAGAAGTCATAGGATTTTACAGATAATAAAGAAATGGAAACTGTGACAGCCATGATCCGGAAGAGACATGGCATTTTATTAATTTTTTAAGAATTACAAGATTAAAGAGTTTACTTTTGCCATAAACTGCATTGTAATTACAAAAAAAAAAAAAAAACTTAAAAAATATCTTTATTTTCAAACAAAGTATTTATTTTTTTATGCCACATCCTTTCTGGATGCAGTTAAAAAGACTGAAGCACCATGGTCACCATGGCACTTCAGTCTTTTTAACTAATATCTTTGAATTGCCAGGACATCTTAGGAAAGGCAATGGAACAGTTTCCTGTTGCCTTCATTACAGTTTGGAATTCAGAAGTTTCTGGTTGCCATCCAATGCTAAAGAGCCTGGTATACTCTGCTAGGTGAGGGCAGAAGAGATGGTCAAGGACATTATTGTAAAAAAAAAAAAAAAAAAAAAAAAAAAAATTGAAGTGAAATTAAACACTGTCACAATTTTTTTTTTTTTCATCATTTTCAATTTGACACTCAAAACAAAATTTGTCTATTCTTCTTCTATGGGTGGTCATGGCTCTCCACAATTTCCTGTCCTTTGTAGCTCTTAATAAATTCTGACTTTTTGCTCTCACTCTAAACCCTGTTTTGCCAACACAAGCTCTTTAGGGATGTTATGCACGGTTTTCCTCTTGCTTTTATTATGTCGTGTGAGTGACAAATTTTTTAAGTCCTCATTCCTAGTTAATTTCCATAGAAATTACAACTGTTTCTTTTTGATGTTATGTATAAGTGTCCTTTTTGTTTCCATTTTCTCTAAAACTTTGCCATTGCTCACATTTTCAATCATAACATTGATATAAAAATCAATTTTGTCCTGCTAAATTTGCTAGAATCCTAATTTTTATTGAGTTAGAGAAAAAAAAAGCATACAAATAAATATGAAGATTCACTTGCCTTAAGCAAATTCAGAATTTTTTTTGCTTTTTACTAAAATATTTAAATTCTTTTAAATGCGGCTTTCAGCCTTCGATTCAATATAACAAAAGAGGATTTGAAGAATGCATAGGAAGAAACCTGGACCCAAATAGATTGATGAAAAAAAAAAAAAAAAAAAAAAAATGTTGCATTTTATTATTACATTATGGATTTCTCCCAGTAATAAACACGTATTTTATTGATCTGAAATTCACAGAGGACCCATCCCAGAACCAAACAAGTATTTACTATTTATTTTTTAATCATAAACTAGTGTAGCTCTGCGCTGTATAGCTTCATACAAAATCTTTAATAAGGTTGTAAGGTAATTTAAAAAGATTCTTGACAAACTACATTCCCTGTGAGTTAAAAAAAAAAAAAAAAATGTTATCTCTTATATTGGTAAATAAACAGGCTCCTTAAGAAATGGATGAATTATTAAACCATACAGAACTAACTTAGTAAAATAAAGTACAACTGCTGACCGTTCTTTATATAGGCATGTTAATAACCAATCAGTGCAAAATATTAAAATGTCAGCCGAACGCCAATACATCTGTGCCAAATGTTACCAACTCGACTAGAAGATTAATGTAAAAATTATACTAAATCAAAATTGATTAAGACAAGCCGTATATGCTACAACAAGATTTAATTTAAATCTAAGAATAAGCAATTGCCAAATTACAAAGTTTGGCAGGATTGTAGGGTGAAAGGTTTAGTATGTTTACAATTTACTGTTAATTCAAAACTTTGATTTAATAAATCAAATGGAAAATTTTAAAACTGGGTACAAATGAAAAAGATTTGAAATTGACAACTTTTTCCATTTCACTGAAATGGATGTTAAACACTTATGTTCACTTTCATTCATTTTCTCAAAGAAACCAAGTAGTGTAGGTGTCTTGTTTATCTATGCAATCAAAATGGAATGGTCCATTATTTATAAGGCATTGGCAGGAGATGTTAAATACTTCTATCTTATCTTTATTTCTAGACAAATCCCCGTCTTATGAACATTTCTCTTAATAATGATTTAAAGATAAATTCAGCAGACAATGTTATTTTATTTATGGTAATTGGATTTTTGATGATTGCCTTACTTGGTTTCCATTGTTCAATACTGTGTATCTAAAAAATGGTGCTTTTATTGCAGTTCCCACACTTCTCAGCCTTTTGGCTAAGATCAAAGTATGGTATCTGTTTTTATTATTAGCTTAATCTAATTCTGCCTATCTCCACTTCTTTCTTTGATTTTCTCACTGAAACCAAGTAGTGTCTTTTCCCCTCTTTCCATGAGATCAAAACAGAATAGTCTATTATTTATGAGTCATTGGCAGGAGACATTAAATACTTCTATCTTCCCTTCTTTCTTTCTTTCTTTCTCATTTTCTCACTGAAACCAAGTAGTGTCTTTTCCCCCCTTTTCCCACTCGATCAAACAATAGTCCATTATTTATGAAGCATTGGCAGGACATGCACAATTATTATAGGATAATAATAATTTGTTAATAGCGGACTTATTTAATTAAGTAGAAACAAAAAAAAAAAAAAAAATCACATCCTTCACTTGCTCAAGGCAATAGCATACAGAAGGGAAGCAGAGGGTGCAATGGCCCTGGGCATCCATATCGGGGGGGGGGGCATCCAATCAAAGAGTGAAATAAAAATTTAGTTTACATTTAATTTGAATCAAGTGTTTATTTCAGGTTTTATCTTTTTTTATATATGCAAAATGTCTTTCTTTCTTACATTTCTCATTACTCCGCCCTATAGACCCCCCTCTACTGGAGTCTTAGGGGGGCATATAATCACTTGAGTTTGATATTAACACACAGACACACCCACACAACTTAGTATCTGCAAAAGAATAAACAAAGTACAACAATAGATCTTTAAAATCTCAAGTTCAGATGGTTAAGTATCTTGCATAGATCAGTGTAATGGAGGCCTGGTCGCAAGAACATGATTATTGTGCAAGAAATCAATGGCTTGCTTGTCATTCTGCATATTGCCTCGAGCAGAATTCTCATTATGGCTTATATTGATATCCAATGCATTCAGGTTGTCAGGAAATTCACACGGGTTACTTCGTAAACAATCTGCTGGTGTTAAATCATGAAATGACAGTTGTCCTATTGATAGACAAATATGGACATAAGGAGAATTTACCTTCAATAATCGGATTGTACCTTGATTGTCTGACATGACACTTCAAAAGGACATCTCAAGATGAGGACAACAATGTTGGAATAGAGCATTCATTAGTCGATTTGCATTGGAAATTGAATAATCATTCATGTGGCAATGAATGAGCATTGGTCAATAGCTAAGTGTGTACTGAATGCAATGCATCATGCAGAATGGATTTCCAATAAGTTGTAGGGAAGCATTATGATTTTGAGGACAAGGGTTACTGTCTATTATATAATTCCATTTTTCTCTCCAGAATCTATCTTGCATATCTATAAGTCTATTATTTGCCCATACTTAGAATATTGTTGCCACGTATGGTCTGGATCTCCTGCTATCTATCTAGAGCTCCTTCATAAAATCCAAAGAAAAATCAGCAGTATTATAGGCCCTGATCTGGTATCTTGACTTCAGTCACTTTCCCGCCTTTGTAAAATTGCTACCTTTGCCTTTCCTATAAATATTTTCATGGTAATTGTTTAGATGAACTCTTTGCTATTAGGGTTTAGATTTTTAAATTGTTGTTTTAATCACTTTACCCCCACAGACAAAAATTGTACATATGGGGACTAGTTAGGGCTTCATGGAGATTCTGAGGTATTATGGTGGATGTAGTAAGAATGGTAAGTAAGAATGTGTTGTTTTGGTCTAAGGAATATAGTGGTATGTTTGGGTCAGTGATAGTGGATAGCTAAGTTTAATTATAATACAGAATATGATCATCCTTTCCTCCATGCTCCACCTTTGACCTTGTGCTGCATTTTTGTATTTTATTACAGAATAAATATCGCTCTTTGTTATGGTTCCTAAACTCATTGAATATAAGTGCAGTACTAGACTGGTGTCAATATCTCATCAATTTACAGTTGAGCTGGCTAGATGCAACCAGAAAT